CAATTTAATAATTTGTCCCTATTTTCACGAAGTGACGGTAGTGAGAAAATCATCATGCAAATTGTATGCGATTTTCCTCATTACCGTCACTTCGTGAAAATAGGGACGAATTGTGTTATAACTGGTCTGTCATCGCCATATACATATAGATCACAATTAATTTAAGAGTTCTCCTATTGTAATCCCTCTAATGTATTTGCATCAGCATGCAGTAATGAAAAGTCTATTCCTCCATCATAAGCTGGAAATGGTGAGGCATAAATGTGTTAATCATGTCTATTAGTTGGACCATATCTCAAGTTTGGGAACCAAGACTAGACCCTCTCGCGATGACCTCTTTCAAATTGGAGAGGGACCTCAGAGGTCCAGAACCTGACCCCATACCATCAAGTAAAAGGTGCATTTTCGATGCCCTCTGTCGTGAACTAAAGCATCCACAATCTGTCCATCTCTACTGCACCCACTCCCATAGTGCCTACCATATCTCATTCAGGCCACTAGTTGCCACATCGACCAGTCTGGCCATATGATACTATTTTACTTGTAATAGTTTTTGCTATATACTTGTTTACTGAGTGAGTGTGATATGCGCTGATGCTCCCTCGAGGTGGAAAAGTAGGTTGGCTAAACTTGACGAAAAAGAGTTTATCTGCTCTTTGTCTCTACCATTTTTAGAGCAATTCTAAGACAGGCCTGTATGCATGTATCTTGGTTTGCTTCTCAGGAGCTGCACATTTGTATTTCAGAGTCCATTTGTGACTTGTACATCTAACAGTTGTAGTGTATGCCCATATATATGAAAGCAATGAATAAAAAAATAAAAAAAGAACATTGATAACAGCTAGTAGTGACATGTAATTATTAGCACAATTTATTTGAACATTTAGGACTATAACTTTGATTGCTTTAAATTTATGAAGACTTATTGCATACTGTTGACATATGTTGAAAAATATATATATGACTGATTGTTTGAGCATATTAAAAAAAATAAATATAAATAAATATTGAGAATTTATGTTACACTGACAACATGTATAGGCAGAGTTAAAGGTTTACATTTTCAAAATCTTGTTAAAGCTATACAAATGTAGTATAATATCAAATATCATTTATAGTTATCATTACAACTATATCATAGAAACCAGTAAAACACTCCCTACACACTTCATAATAGTAAATGCAAATGAAAACACATGTTCTGAAAATATCCACTTTTTCTACCAGATCCCAGCATTACCGGAACTACTTCCACACAAGTTCCATCTCTTCCCTACTCCCCTACACTCCGATGGGTTAGCCCCTGTATAAACAAGCTCATTATTTATGCACACCTGTCTGGCGCACGACCAGCTGTACTCCCATTGGTCACTTGTGTCTACTCTCATGCATTATGCATGAGCGAGTACTGTAAACTTCTATGGCACTGTTGACCTTTCTTCTGAAGCAATAATGCTTCTCTTTTCTTGGTTGTGTTCCTCTTCTGTTCCCCTCTCTCTCCTCTTGTGGTGTGTCTTGCGTATTGGAATGCCAGTGGCTGCCTCCAACACAGTGGCACCTGCAGCCATCTGCTGAACAGAACTTACTTAGGAAGTGGTCTAGAGGTCGAAGGTCGGCGGCAGTTTAAACATAAACATAGGCTCTGTGCCTGATTTCTCTTTGCACTGTGCACCCCTAGTAATGCATGTAGTGTTTGTTCTTGAACTTTACAATGATTTAGTGCAGGGATGGATAAGCACAAATTGGTGTGTGCACATAGGCTTGGCAAGTTTGATGTGCAAACGCAAAGAAAGAACAGGTTCTTGTGCAGAAAGATGGTGGTGACGAAAACTTCTTATTGAAGAAAAGGATGAATGATGAAATATGAGATGTTTTATTCTTAGATTCTGAATAGAAAATCGATTCGATGTAATTGTAGAGATCAAGATGAACCAATAATAATAATAATAATAATAATAGTGGGTTCTTGTATAGCGCTCATGTCAGTCAGATTTGACCCTCCTGGCGCTCCCGATTATTACCCTGGCTTTAGCACGGCGCTCTAGCATTTCAAGGAAGTTCGTTTCTCAAATACAAAGAATGTGATCATCAACTGTAAACAAGGCCTATGATATCAGATGATAATCAGGTTTACTGGTCTAAATGTCTAAAACACAAACAGTTTTGTAGAATATGAAGATTAACAGCAAGACAATAAGTTGAACATGTATTTTTATAACAGACAAAATGTGCCCACATTAAATGTTTGACACAGCAGTCACTCATGATGATTTTAAAGTTTTGATCTTGAAGGAAAACAAGTAATAGGTCCTATGGGTATCTATCATAGGAGGTCTCCTCTGTTTCTGCTCAAGAAAGAAATCAATATTACCAATTTAAAGTTAGGATTACATATACATGTTGAACTTAGAGAGGATGAATTGAAAAGCGTATTGATCTACAACTACACTGCATGCACTACACTACAACGACTGCATGCGGTCCTGAACTACCAATATTTAATAGAATGCGTAGAACTAGAAGTGTATGGAGTTTAGCTTGTCGTCATCGACTTGGCTCTCAAAAGGGGACTCAATTCTCTCTCTCTCTCTCTCTCTCTCTCTCTCTCTCGCTGTTGTGGAGCCTTTGTTGGTTCAGCGCATGCATGACAATAGCGTAGGAGCTGGTAGGCTATTGTTCAGCCATGGAGGCTTTTATTTTCTTTTATGGTCCTCTCAAAAAACGATTTCTTCACCATCTCCACCTCTTTCTGCCAATCTTTTCTTTTTTGATGTGGTTAACTTGCTTTTATTTAATTTCTCCTTTAAAGCGGGGCTGCACTACTTGTAGCTACTTGCGCCCTCTATATAGCAAACGATGCCTAAAAGCGGTACCTGTTGGTCCTCCAAGATCCCCTTTTTCTTATGTTCATTGAGCTGATTTGATGAGATAACCACCTGTCAGTGACCATGCAGGGAGGTCTAGTCCCTCCTGGCCAAACTAGTGCAGACAGGTTTTTAAAATAACCCCATATTCTTGAAACATCATCATCACCACAATTGCACATGCCTGCTGCTTGCACATAGGCTTACATGTAATCGGGAGCGTCAGGAGTGTTAAGTATGACAGACATGATCGCTCGATAAGAACCCAATATTATTAGTAGTATTATGCACATTGTGCATTCGTTTTTTCTTTTCATATAGTTTGGATCCATTTTTCTTTAATTTCTGCATTGATTTTTATTCAATATACAGATTATGACTTTAAATACTACATAACAAGATACAACTTCAATTTATCCTCGACATTGAAGGATTCTTTCTGCCGCTCCTTGCACATTAAAAGCGCAGGAACCCTTTTGCATCCGTACTTCCTCTTTCCCTTTATCAGGAGTTGATACGCTGCCATGAAAAGACTTTCTGCAGCCCCATGGTCATGCATGGGTATGGATGACTTTATGTTGTTGTATAGTTTGAGGACACGACTTATTCTTCTGTGCCATCAAGAACTGCCGTTTCCCACGCCGACATCAGAAACCACGTTCTGTGTTATCTTGAGAAACATTGTTCTTCTTTTAAAAGGGAATAATTGGGGTGGAACGTGTTGTTAAGAAAGAAAATTGATTTGGGTCTTTTTCAGAGTGAAAAGAGTGTCTGGAAAGTAGCGATATATTAGCTGATATGGATCTCAGTGTTTGATAACTGCCACTGATAACTTACAAACACTTTTGTTGCAAATCTTGTTTCAAATAGTGTGTCACTAACTAGAGAATAATTGATTTATTTGATCAGACGCTTCTCCTGTTCTCTTTATGGGTATACCTGCGTGAATAATGATTTATTTAGAATAGGAAAATATTGTCTTTGTTGTTAAATTTAGCTTGTAACTGTAGATCCTGAGTTGCATCACTTTCAATGTCCTTTTACCAACTTCTATAGCTTCTGCTTGTATTTTCTCTCAATACCATGGTTTCCCCGAAATGCAATGTATTAAAAGAAGACTCTTTGTCATTTTAATTTTTTCTATCTACTTGTTCTCATCTTTTAATGGAATGGGATTCCCTCCTAAGATTAACAAATATTTGAGAATCTTCAAAAATTGAGAAAGTGAAACTACATGTATGACTATTACCAATTCAAGAGAAAAGGGGGAGGGCCAAAGAGATCGATCACATGTTACTAATAATACAAGATCATTTAAAAATCTCTTTTGCTCCTATCAAATTTGTTGACAAGGCCCTACGATCCCTGGAACCAAACGAACATGTTTCCGTTTTACAATTATGACTGAAATCAAGTAATGCCAGAGGCAGAGAACTTGTTTGTGTGCTGCTGCCCTAATACTTCATGGTGTGCCAAATTAGTTGCACCTTTACTTCACAAATATAATTGAAGATTTGTGTCTACCTTGCCCCATAATTACTTGCAAAAGATGTGAGGGGGTAGATGGTGCCCCACTGGGGCATCGGGGGTCATTGACTTTCATATTTGTTTCCTTTCCTTAATGCAAACAGTAAATTATATCTGTTTTCTTTTAAATATTTGGATTGTAGTAAGAGTACATAGAATATATGTCACCAGTTTACATATTTAGAAACAGAATGTTACACCTCATTGTGTTATTGAATGGGAAATGTCATTCAACATTATCAGTGAATCAGTATTTCAGTAACAATCTCATCAGTGATATAGTTATAATTTGAACAAATTAGCTGTAGCACAATATTCATTTGTAACAAAAAATTCATGAAAGTACCACTAATTTGTGATTTCTTATACATTATATATTCTAAAATCAATATTTTAGGGATTTGAATCGATTTACCCTCTTCAATATATCACTATAACAAAATTATTTAAAGGCAATATGCTTTTGGAGTTTTACCAACATTGCAAGTTTCTTGTAACAACAAATTCATGTGCTCTGAGATTTACATGTAGTATAGAATTTTCCTCTGTGATTTTCATTTGTACTAATTTCTCAATTCTCTTCTACCTTTCTTTTCTTCCTCTCTACAGGTGCGACACATTACATGCAGGGAGCCACTGTGAGTACAACAACCCATGTTATTATGACGGCCTGTGCCAAAACGATGGGGAATGTGAGGTACAGTTCAACGACGACGGGAGCCAGCCTTCGTTCTCCTGCAATTGTCTGCTCGGGTACGAAGAAAGTCTCTGCGAACGGGAGGTGGACAGCGTGTGCAAGATGGAGCAGCCATGCCAGAGCGGTGGCACATGCCGGCTCACAACCTCCCTCTGGAACTATGAATGCTTCTGCACTCCAGCAAAAACAGGTACAGACATGGAAGAACATCTCCTATTTCAAGTAAACACAATTAAACCTGCAAACAAGACCACTCAATGACAACAAGACGAGTGGTCACATAGAAGCTTGTGGTCTTTATGTACAGGTTTCAGTGAGAAATGAGTTCAAGGGCAACAAAAAAATGTGTGGTTTTTATAAAGACAAGTGGTTGCAAAAGCAGGTTTGACTGTAACATAAAATCTGTTTGTAAAGCCTGCAGAAGGGATACATGATAATTGATTGGATGCTGGACTAAAATTGAAATCACTTAAAGAACTTTTATATATTATGCAAGCTTGGATTTGGAAGTGATGGTTTTACATCATGCATTAAGATGCGACACTGTAATACTGTATAAACCAATATTTTTGCGTACAAATATTTTTACTTCACGACAGAGGCACAGATATATTTGTAAGTTGTTTTCACAATAATTGATGCAGGCTACTTTAAATACACTCCATGTTTGCAACCACACGTGCATTGCTAGGTCATTTCGGCTTTTGTAAAAGTTTTACCCCAATACTAGTTTGCAAATGAAGAAAATAACTTATACAGAATGAGAGTTGATGTGTGAAGATGGGATATTCTCATTTGCCATTTACTCCACTTCTCCTTATAAAATGAAATAAGATGAATGAGAAAAAAAATCTTATCTTTACTTTTGTGAATAACTCTAAAATCCTGTTCTTTTTTTCTCTGCAGGTGTCAATTGCACGGAAGAAAACCACTGTGTGAGCAATCCGTGCCTAAATGGAGCCATTTGTATGTCATCCAGTGGAGGTTACACTTGTGATTGTGCTCAAGGTAAGAATTGTGTACATGTATGTTCTTCTGAGGATGGAATCCATTAAAGGGATTGGGTAACTTTGATTCTGAAACAAAAAATAGCTCATGCTGCAATGATAATTTAAACCTTTAGGTCATTCAAGAACCCCATGACTTTTACAAGCCGATCGCCTGTCTGATTATCAAGATATTTATGATTGGAAACTGAAATCATATTTTGCGGTTTCCCAACAGTTTTCATAACACTACAGTCTATTGGGGAAAACGAGTATGGTAAAACCGGTCACTCAAAGATTTGTACTTTTTTTGTTTCCCCAGGAACAGAAACGAGTACATGCATTGTGAAGTTTATATTGACAGAATATCTTAAAGGCCAATTTTAAAACCAAAAGAAGGAAGTAGAATTATAAATTTAATCTGAAAAGTGCATTTAAAATGCTATATTTGTATATATATATATAAATATAGTGGGGAAAAGGTTTAAAGGGACTATGTCCCATTTGCAGGCCAAAAAAATGAAAAAGTTAAATTCCAACTGCATTTGAAAGATAATACTAATTTAGAACTTCCCTAAAAAAGGTGGGGCTTGAAAATGTCTTCAAGTGGGAAAATAACGACTATTAGTTGTCAAATCGACTTTAGGGCTATAGAGCCCAAAAGTAATAGTCTTAATTTTCAGACAATTGTACTGAATGGTCATACATTTTATGCTGTGCAAAGATTCAATCAGTTTAATCTTGGCCATCACAAGAAGTGGGTTATTGATGTATACAAATACTCATGTACCCTTTAAAACTCTTTTCATGTATGTTATTACCAAAGAAGAAAAAAAGCCTTTTAGTCACTCAATAGTGTCTGACAGTGAAGTCTAGCAAGTAAACGGTTTTCCTTGCATAATTTGAATATGAGGACACTGCTAACATTTAAATTTCACAGATAGGACATACATGACATATTCATAATTCCTGCAAAGTTCTACAGCATTTGAGGTTGGCTGCAAAAGGAACATGTACCTTTAAAACAATAATGCTCAGTCGATGTTGAAGTCGAGAATGCCTGTCAAACTTGAATGCAAATTCCTTCCATGTTTTTTAAAACAGGATTTGAGGGGGAGACATGCTTTAACGACATCAACGAATGCACGAGACCTAACGGCCCGACTGTCTGCTTCAATGGAGGTACCTGCCACAACCTGATAGGGGGTTTCGAATGTGAGTGCCCCCAGCAATTCACTGGAGACCAATGTGAAGAACTCTATGAGCCATGTTCACCTGATCCCTGTAGGAACGGAGGCATCTGCGCCTCTACTGGAAGCTACACCTTCAGCTGTACCTGCCGTAATGGTTAGTATCAAGGCTCGTTCACATATGCTGTTGTATTACCGCAACCTTTTTTGACTGTGTATGTGTGGACTGAATGAATGGCAAGTGGAAATGTAAAAGGTAGCTGTGCACAATAATGGTCCTATGCGTACTTACTTTTCCATGTGTCATAAGATGCGAAGAAATGAAGTGCATGAGGCATTCCTTAAAAACCCTAAATTGCTTAGTAATCTGACGTTTTAACATAGAAATTTGAACCTGTACTTTATACACCTCATTTGTATTATTTGTTTTCCTCCACTTTTGTTTGTAGGATTCACTGGACAAATGTGTGAGACGAATCTGAACGACTGCACCCAGCACGGTTGTATGAATCGTGGAAGTTGCGTCGATGGGGTCAATGACTACTCCTGTTCCTGCCTCTCAGAGTTCACAGGTAAGGGGTTGTACAACGTATGAACCGGCCACAAATGCTCTACAGTCAATTTCTCTCATGGGATTCCTACTCCAATCCTTCAACATTTTGTATCTTACCCTAACCCTAAACAGACACTAACGCAAACTCTTTAATCATTTATTTGTACATCTGTATATTTTACACTGTATATAACATTCTCATTATTTTGAATTTTATGATTTAGAAAGAGAAAATTGAACCCTAGCCGTTGATCTTTGATAAAATTATACCTGGAGCAAGTGTTCAAAAAGGGAATCTCTGATCTCTCGATTAGCTTCCAGACACATCAGTATCTCTATGACAGGGGCTGTTAATTTTGGATACATTTTCGGATAATTGCCCCCCCCCCCCCCCCCCCCCCCCCCCCCCCGTCCCAAATATTTGGATTACATGCACAGCCTCTGCTGTTGTTAATAAGGTCTCCCCTCCCTAATTCTGGAGTGGATCAAACTGACAGTGAGCAAAGTTGGTCTTTGTCTTGGTAATCTCATATGAACAAAATTACATAACAATAAAGAGGGTTGTAGATTCATTTTAAAGAATAAAAAATAAACTATAAAGTTCCAAACATCAATGGAGTTGGGATTGTAAAAAATGATGCCCTTCATGAATTAGAAGGAGTAATAACGTGAAATAATTGATTGTGATTCTGCCGTCAGGTCTCCATTGTGAGGAGGATGTTGATGAATGCAACACCCCTATCAATCCCTGTTTCAATGGGGCTACCTGCGCAAACACCTTTGGTAACTTCTCCTGCGTGTGTGTCGCTGGATGGGAGGGGCGATACTGCGAGATCAACAAAGATGACTGCACCCCAAACCCCTGCACCAATGAAGGAGTGTGTACGGATGGAGTGTCAACATTCATGTGCACCTGCCCACCGGGGAAGACAGGTAAGTTATGACCACGCCCTAAAAAAGGAAATTTAAAGGCCCACTGTACTACTTGTAGCTACTTGCTCCCTCTATATAGAAAACAATGCCTAATCGGTGACCATTGGTCCCCTATGATCCTCTTTTTCTTATGTTAATTGGGAGCTGAGTTGATGAGATAGCCACCTGGCAGTAACCACCCTGGGTGGTCTTATCCCTCCTAGTCAAACTAGTACAGACAGCCTTTAAGGTCTGATCGTGTGATTGCATTGCAAAATAAACTAAAGAAGTCTTTGGTAAAGATTGATGATATTAGTACATGAGAGGGATTGTGTATTGGGGGTGCTTGAATGGTCAAAACAATAAAAAATTGACTCAGACTCGAGTAAACGGGATTGTTTTTATTATCGTAAGTGTCTAGAGGTAACTTGTAATCCACCCCCACCAAAATGAATTAATTTCCATTATTTTCTTTGATGTGGTTTTTCGCAATTTTCGTAGGTCTTCTATGCCATCTGGATGATGCGTGCCAAAGCAACCCGTGCCATCAAACGGCAGTGTGTTCCACCTCCGTCCAGGACGGTTCCTATTTGTGCGCCTGTGCCGCTGGCTACCAGGGCTTCAACTGTTCAGTGGATGTTGATGAGTGCAGCCTAGGTATGTAGAGTCAAACCTCTAGTGACTACCTGTTTAGAAGGACCACCTTTCTATAGAGATCTTATTTTTCTCTCACTTTAACAGTTTTTCTCATTCTTCATGTTTTAAAGAAGCCTAATTGGTAACCGCCTGTATAGGAAAACTTAACTATTAAATCTTTTCTCATTCAAACGTATACTAAAGAAATCATATTTAAAGACCGCCTATCTGTAAAATAATGAAAATTCCACCTTCCTTGAGTAATGTTCATGTACAGGTTTTTTCTTTCTTCATTATATTTCATATCATTCATTTGTTTTGTGCGGCATGCATTAACATGAATAATTAGTATGCCCATGTACAAAAGAAAACTTGATAATACACAATACTCACAAGAATGGAAGTTGGGAGTTATTGCTACCTTGTTTGGCGTTCAACAATTAGGGATAGAGCAACGTCGATCCGGTGCTGCTCAGTGGCTGTCAGGCTCACGATCAATTGGGCAAAAAGAATTTCCGTTTAGGTTTAATAAAATTTGGAGTGGACTTTAACCCTACGTCAATTGGGGGGGGGGGTCAATTTGACCCCCCCCCCCCCTGTAGAAATTTCGCGACTACTCCGAAACTGGGCAGATATAAAAAATTTCCTTTCATGACTTTTTCTTTTGAGTCTTACGCATCTTTTAAAACAATTTTTTCAAAAATCGGACATGTTACAAAGTCATGTGACTTCTTGTCTTCGCATGTCAGCCCAAAAATTACTCATTTTTGTGATTTGTGTACAAAACATATGGAAATTTCATTTTTCCTAAAAAGAGATAAAACATTGATTATTTAGTCTTGTTTAAAGTAAAGGTGTTTGTTTTGGAGTCAAAATAGTTGAATTGTAGTTATAAATGAAATAAAACAACAAAAACAATAAAATACATAAGTTAAAAAACAATGAAATACATAAGAACTTATCAAAACAAGAGATAACATGAGGAATAACCTGGCTCTTCCAATTTTTTGTGTTGTATTATTATTCCAAATGGTCTAACAAATATATGTAGTGAAAAAGAATGCTTAAACATGAATAATGTATGATTAATGGGCAAAAATGTGAATTTTAAGACCTTATTTGCATAAATTACCATAAATATGCAAATGAGTGAATTTTTCAAAAATTGAAATTACCATAGTATTCTACACACTTCACTTGACATGTATGCAATTTTTTGCAGCGATCGGCAGTGAAACGGCCGAGATCTTAGGGGGGGGGGTTCAAATTGACCCCCCCCCCCCCCCAGTAAAAGCCTGGTCTGAAATAGCCCAGTTAAAATAGGGTTAAAAGATAATTATTATTATTATTATTAAACTTACTATTGGTAAGTCATTAACTAGGATCATGTATGGCAACGCTCGGACAATAATCATGAATTTCAATCCACAGGTGCAATATGTCAAGTGGGAGGCACATGTCGGAATTTAGTAGGTAGCTACGAGTGCCTTTGTGATGAAGGGCTTACCGGGGAGCGCTGTGAACAGGATATTGATGAGTGTCTTGAAGATCCCTGCAGCAATGGAGGAACTTGCTACAATAGCCGAGGCAGTTATCAGTGCGTCTGTCTAGCAGGTTAGTCTTGCTTTCATTTGCGTAGACGCGTGGTTGCACGTGATGCTGATTCGCTACAAACCATAGCCGCCAGTTAGCAGAAAGATTGCTCTGTGAATCACAAAAACTTAGCCAAGCTGCCCATAATGGTCTTGATCATCTCTGTCACAACCCTTTTATGCCTGTGCGCCTTAGTTATACGCTAGAAACATTTGAATAATCTTTAAAAAACGTTGAAGAAAGTCATTTTTTAACTTTGTTAAATGATATCTAAAGGGACTATGAATAGTTCGAAAGGACTTTTTGGTCTCTTTTAGAGTGTTTAGAAGACACGTCCATACCAGTTGTATCCAGAAAGGACTCTCAGTTATACTTGATTTCTTATAACATGCTCTCTCTGTGATATTCATCTTCACATGATTGTTAAGTCAACCTTACATTCCAATTTTCACGATAGGTTTTATGGGCAAGAGCTGTGAAATCGAAATCAACGAATGCGCAAGCAATCCCTGCTACAATGGTGGCTCTTGCCGCGACTCCATCGGTCGGTATTACTGCGACTGCATGCCTGGCTACACAGGAACTAGCTGTCAGGTGGACGTCAATGAGTGTGCGTCATCGCCCTGTGAAAATGGAGGGACGTGCCTGGACGGTGTCAATCGGTTCTCTTGCTTGTGTGAGACAGGTGAGTGTCATTCGCATCAGCTGGGTGTTACATTGACAGCAGTAAGCTGCATTGGTGTTACACATGCCCCTGTGATATTTATTCTGCTGTCAAATGCTATCAAAATAAATTCCATTAAATTCCTGATATTGACCCTGGACTGAACATTTTAAACCTATCAGTGTTAACCCTCGCCTTCATCTATTTATACCACCTATAAGTCATTCTGCCAGAAATATTACTACTTACCTACTTACTTATTACTTACTGCAATGTTATTCTGAAAATGCCTTTTCTTTTGATCTGCTGATGACTGTTTCATTGCAAGAACCCATCTCATGTTATAAAAATAACTGTGAAGTAGATTGAGATGCAATGCAATGTGCTCCAAAGCTTCAAAGATAAAATATGTAGTATGAAAGATGTTTAACTGTTAATTACCTTGTTATTAAAATAGTAAGAAGCAAACCGGGAGAAACTTACAAATACTCCACCACAGAAGCTGGCCGGACATCAGTTGGTTGATCTAACCGTGATCTTAATCCTTTCCACTAAACCTAACGATACCCTTTACCCTAGGCAAAAGATGGTCATGTTCTTAAACGGTATTCTAAAGCTAAGTCGAAAACCGATCTTGTGTGGATTCATTACAGGTTACGAGGGTCCCTTCTGTGAAGTGGAGAGTTACGAGTGTGAAAGTTCTCCCTGTATGAACGGAGGAACTTGCGTAGATTTGGTTGGATTCTACCAATGTCAGTGTCCTAATGGAACAGCAGGTTAGTCATATGCTATTGTTGTTTTTGTTGTTGTTTATGGAGATGTTGCCATTCTTGTTGCCGTTTATGATGTCCACTTGTGTGGTCTAAGATCATTCTATTTTCATGAATTATGTTTTTTAAGGTAATATTTGTACTGTGACATTTATTCGTCATATGCATTTACCATGCATCAACCCTTGAAATGATATGAAATTTTAAATTTGATCTTGTAAGTAACACAATAATTAGCAGTTCCATGTACAATGGTATACGTATTTGCATTGCTTTGAGGGTTAATAAAACTCAAATCACTGGGATTTTTTTCCTCAATTTTATTTAGTTGAGTTGATAATGGATTCATCCGTCCTGACTGTTTTTTTGTCACTTAGGAGACAACTGCCAGCATAATACCTTTGAGTGTGCTTCCAACCCCTGCCTCAATGGTGCAACTTGTGTGGACGACATCAACAAGTACACCTGTAGGTGTCGTGATGGCTACAGTGGACCGCATTGTGAGAACAATATTGATGAGTGCGAGAGCAATCCTTGTCACAATGGTGGTATATGCGTAGACGAAGTCAACGGCTTTCGCTGTCAATGTCCCGTGGGATATCACGACCCCTTCTGCATGTCCGACATCAATGAGTGTTACAGTCTGCCTTGTACTAATGGCGGATCCTGCCGGGATGGTGTCAACGAATACAGCTGCGACTGTCTGGCAGGCTACACCGGTACCCAGTGTGAGGCTGACTTTGACGAGTGCTCTTCCAACCCTTGTCAGCATGGTGGTGCTTGCGACAATGGACTCGCTTTCTACAACTGCTTGTGCACGGCGGGATACACTGGCCAGAACTGCGAGATGAACATTGATGACTGTGACACGCGGCCGTGTCTGAATGGAGGGACTTGCATCGACGGGGTGAATACCTTCCAGTGCGTGTGTCCCCAGATGTTCGTAGGACCACTCTGCGAGGTGGAAAGGTCTCCCTGCGAAGACAACGAATGTGAGAATGGCGCTACTTGTGTACACTCTGAGGACTATGCAGGATACTCTTGTAGATGTACCAGTGGGTTCCAAGGTAAGGAGTCTTACAAACTTCTACAATCATTGTAAAAGGGGGATTTCTCTATATTAGGCGCATTTTATCTCCAATGAATGTTTAACCAGCAAGGTATTGAATGACAGGGGCATTCTTTGAAAATTTGGTGCACATTTCCTTATGACATTGGATACCATCACATGAAATGTTGACCAGCAAAGGAACAATATGGCATAACGGCATTGGTGGAAAAGGTGGTGATAGTGATGGCACATCCTATTATCATTATAGTACATGTATTGAAATGAATATTCCGAAACTATATGGATCAAATGTCCTCTTGTGCAGTCTGAGGGGACATGAATCAATGGCATAGTTACTTGACTTGTATATGTCATAGTGAAGAGTCTAGAAACAAAGAAATACTGTGAGTCATCGCTTCCTTTTGGCATCAATGAGAAACACCATTTCAAATGTCATGGAATGCATACTTCTAATCCCATTCATATATTTCCGTCCATCTAATTTTCCATCCAACCGTTCTTCAGGATAATTGCTATTCTTTTCATTCTGACCGCAGGTAACCTCTGTGAAATCGACCGCAACGAGTGTCATCTCTTCTCCCCTTGTCGGAACGGCGGCACATGCACCAATCTTGAGGGAACCTTTGAGTGCACCTGTGGTCCCGGTTACGAGGGCACCATCTGTGACGTCAACATAGACGAGTGTGCACCAGGTAAACCTCCCCTGCTTAACCCAGACAAATACTCCCCTGCAATTTTCTGTTTTTACAGTAGTTAAATTTGCACATGAAACTGCCAAACCATCAAAGGGAATGAGTAACTTTTTCTCAGGTTCTGAAACAAAATCCTGGATTTAGCTCATGCTGCAATGATTATTATAAACCTTTAGGTCAGTCAGGAACCCTATGACTTTTCTGATTATCAAGATATTTACAATTGGAAATCTGAATTTTAAAATTTGTTTTCCTAACGGTTTTTATAACACTACAGTCTATTTGGGAAAATGAGAATGGTAAAACCGGTCACTCAATATTTTTAACTTTTTTGAGGCACTTCATGATCATTTTAAAGTGCAATTTTTTTAGGGCTTCAATAATACACCATATCCCATACACTGATAACACGTAGGGCCATGCATCTCAGATTTAACAGTGTTAAACAATCCCTTTAACCTGCTCCCCTACCCTTACAGGACCCTGCACCAACGGGGGAGTCTGTACCGACGGCACCGGGGACTACACCTGCTCCTGTCAACGGGGATTCACGGGCAAAAACTGCCAACACGACACCGACGAATGCCTCAGTTCTCCCTGCATGAACGGTGCCTCCTGTCATGAATATGTGGACAGCTACACCTGCTCTTGCCTTGTTGGCTTCAGTGGCATGCATTGCGAGATTAATGATCAGGACTGCACGGACAGGTAAAGTAGCGTGTAGAACTGTCGAAAGCGTACAAATGATTTCATTGCCTATGAATTATGTGTGCAGATTAATGTGGTATATCTCGTCTTTTACTTACTTTGTGAAGTGCTCCTCATGAAGGTTTTGCCATTTACAATTGATGCATACATACAAATAATGCATATGAATGAGGATAGTCCTTACTGTGATATATCAATTCTTCTGCTTCCTTGCTTAAGGAAAATATTTCACCATGGTCATAATGGCACTTTACGCTGATTTGATGCCTAGAAGTTATTTAAACAAAAAACATGATCTGCACCATAGTTACAATTATTCACTATTTACTCTTATGCTCCCTTGTATTGGATCTTTCAGCTTTCACAAACTATGTATAAACAATTTAGTACATAGAGATTACCAATACATTCTTTTTTTGTGTGTGTACTAATCCTTGTGCTGTCTTTTCAAGTTGACGAGATTAACTGCTGTGTGAATGGATCCATTTTTCTTGATTGTAACACCTGTTAAATGAGATAAGCTCATTTAGAATCTCGTTATCTCACTGTTGCAGCTCTTGCCTTTACGGGGGCACCTGCATCGATGGCGTCAACAGCTACGCGTGCGAGTGCAGTGCCGGGTACACCGGGTCAAACTGCCAGATTCAGATCAATGAATGTGATTCCAATCCCTGTGACAATGGAGCAACTTGCCTGGATCGCTTTGGCTCCTACTCTTGCCACTGTGATGTGGGCTTCACGGGCCTGAACTGCGAGGTAATGAATAACTTTTGAATATTCTCTCTTGGAAGTACATATTTTAAACGGACAGAGAACAGCCTTCGGGGGAAGACAAAGAGAACTCACTTTTAAAAGAACCAAACGGTTGAAATGTTCCTTTCCATGTCTCTTATCTGCTGTGTGTATTGTTTCACTAAAGTAAATACGGTCATCCTTTTTCATGCCAAAGGGATTTTCCCCAATTTGCTCTGATAACATTAGCTTTAGGCTATACCTCAAAGAAAGAAATAGGGTCAGGGTTGCAATCTGGTTTTATATTCGGTTAGGTCAGGGTAGGACATATTGCTTGGTCAGGGGTTGAAGTTAGATATTCAAACTAGTCCCGCAAATTAACCATGTAGCAGTTGTAGCTGGATCACATCCCGTACAGTTGTCAAAAGATGGATTTGAATTGCATCATACGTTACAAATTGTCAAAAATCACCCCCTTTTTCATTCATTTAATATTCCCCTGCTTTAAATTAGTTTAAAAATCATTTGTTTTTCTATCCAGTCTGTCGTTAACTGGTGCAGCCCTCAGAACAACCCTTGCTACAATGGAGCTAACTGCGTTGCAATGGGTCACCTGTATGAGTGTCGCTGTACATCCAATTGGATTGGAAAGCTGTGCGATGTACCAAAGGTGTCCTGTGATATCGCAGCCTCTGGTAAAAGTAAGTACAGTCAAACCTGCTTTAGGGACTACCTGTATAGAGAGAGAGACCACCTGTTTATAAAGACCACATTTTTGTTTCCTTTGAAAATCCCCAAAGAGCTCCTGTACACAATAAGTTACTGAAGTTTTATTTATTTATTCAGTCATTAAAGTCATTTAAAGCAAGAGTAACATGACAGATGCAGTATATCTACCTTGCCTCCAGTATTCTCAATTGATTAGCAAGTGTGTCCTTGTAAAAAATGATGCTCCCCAGGGAGTGGAGAATGTCCATACATTGTGTGTAGGTAAGCCTGAATCCGATGACCGGGGTAATAATATATATCTGTAAAGCGCTTTGAGAGGGCCTGTACCTGAAAAGCGCTATATGAGAACGAACTATTATTATTATTAATATTAATATTATTAATACCCCCTCTGTTATTCATTTTTAGATGTGTCTCGGAGTGAGCTATGTTTGAACGGAGGAACCTGCATAGATGCAACAAGCACAGCAAGCAGTCACTCCTGCTTGTGCCAAGACGGCTACACAGGATCCTATTGTGAAGTTGACATTGACGAGTGTGCTTCAGCTCCATGCCACAATGGTAGGTTATCAAGATTGCCATCCAAGTGTGATTTTCAGATGCAATCAAAATTTGTTAGTAGGACATTTGTTTTTATCTAAAACAGAATGAAACTAAGTATAGGAGATTGCTCAAATTACAAGGGATTTCTTTTGTTGAAAGATGGACACCCAAGATTAAAATGGGAGTGTGTAAAAAAGAGTGGGGAGAGAGAGAGAGATGAAACAGAGACAGATACAGGAGAGATAACAAACAAATATGAGAGACAGACAAGAGTGACCTAAAATATTCAGTTGATGAGTAAAAGGATTGTCTCTCTTTACACCAGCCTTTTTCTCTTCACTCACTCAGGTGGTACGTGCACAGATGGTGTAAACAGCTACACGTGCTCCTGCCTGCCTGGTTTTGAGGGTCCTCAGTGCAAGCAGAACATTAATGAATGTGCCTCCAACCCCTGCCATTATGGTCAGTGCCACGACATGGTCAACGGCTACACCTGTTCATGTCCTGCCGGTACCCAAGGTAAGGAAATATGCAAATGTAACAGGGCATTGACGTCATGTAAATTAATTTCAGTTACTGATGTCAGAAGATACAATGACATTTTGCTGGTGATCCAATGTTATCTGTTATCATTTACTCCAGCCTATATTTCGCTTAAGATACAGAGTTGGGTCTGTGTTTGCTATTTGGTTTGAGACTAGGTTGAGGGTTATGGTTTAGTATGGGAATGGGTCTAGGGTTTACGTTAGGAATTATGTTAGTGTTAGATATTGACTGACTGCTTGGCAACTGTTTGCATAGCGAGTGTCATACTATCACATTGCCAGATTGTACAATTAAGCTTGCTTCTGTGGATGTGCAGTTGCGATGGAGTGTGTCATATCCAGTTCACAAAATTAAGGCACTGACTAAAATGCATGGGGACAGATGTATTCACAGTAGTTTAATGATTAGGAGAGATTTTCCAGGATTTACCAAGTAATAAAAGTTATCTGCAGCTTCAATACATGCACATGGGTTATTATGGTGTTTTTGTTTGTTTTAAAGCCTGTCTGCACTAGTTTGGCCAGTAGGGATTAGACCTCCCTGCATGGTCACTGACAGGTAGTTATCTCATCAATTCAGCTCTCACTTAACATATGAAAAAGGGGATCATAAGGGACCAACGGGTAACACTTAGGCATTGTTTGCTATATAGGGGGCGCAAGTAGCTACAAGTAGTGCAGTCCCGCTTGAATATAACCTTGTTCTGACTAACCAAAATTCCTGAATCCTTGCCCCTAGGTACGGACTGTTCCATCAACCTGGACGACTGCTACGCCGGAGCCTGCTACCATGGGGGAGTGTGTGTGGATCAAGTAGGCACATACACCTGTGACTGCCCTCTAGGGTTCGTCGGCCAGCACTGCGAAGGTGACGTCAATGAGTGCCTTTCAGACCCTTGTGATTCTACAGGAAGCCAGGACTGTGTTCAACTCATCAATGACTATCAATGCATCTGCAAACCTGGTTATACTGGTATGAAACAAGCATATCTCTCTGTCTCTCTGTTTTCTCGCTTTGTTTAATCTGTACTCAAGTTTGGTCAGATAAATGTACAATGTATGTAGTGATGTAATAGGGAATTTGAAGAAATTATGATCTCTACAGCATAGCTGTTTCTATTTCATCTTTATGTTAATCCAATGTCTCTACACATGGCATTCAGAGTGTGCTAGAACCCTAGATTGAACTAAACTGAAAGGCCCGAATTCACAAAGGAGGTTTAAACCCTCATTTACATAACCCATGGTTTAGAATTAGCGCAAATTGAGTGTACCTTGCCTTGCACGCGTCTAATATTGAACCAATGACTGTGTCACACTTAGATTGTGCCAATTTTAAACCGTAAGTTAAGTAAATGAAAATTTGAACCATGGGTTAAATTTAAAAGTTGTGGGAATTCGGGCCAAAAGGTTTGATTGAACTAATGTCAGCGTGCTGCAAGATATTGTTTCCCTCTTGCCATTGTTGGTAAAAATTGATCTTTACCATTTGCCTGTTGCATTTCTTAATGCTTGTGCAGTATGTCTTTCATACTTTTTTTTAATTAGTAGTTTGTATTTTATGGAAGCTTGGTGTTCATCTGATCTCTCTTTTGTTCTTCACCAGGTCAAGATTGTGAGCAAGAAATTCCCAATTGTCGGGACGATCCTTGTCAGAACAGCGGAACATGCTCACCAAGTGATGAAGGTTACTTCTGTGACTGCCTTATAGTAAGTTTGTTTGACAATGCGTTTGTTATCGCATGCTTCCTGTAAATCATTCTGAAAGTTTATCCTTTATCCCTCCCTCTCTCTGATGTCCTACAGCCTCCTCTACCCATTTCTCTGATGTGTCCTTCTTCATCATCCCTTTTTATCTTTCACACAGCCTCATAATCACTCCTATCTATTTATCTCTCTCTTACTTTTTTTCCTCTCTCTCTCTCTCTACACCTCTCTTTCTCTCACGTTCACACATGTAGCTACTGAATTTGTCAACATATTCACCTCTTCACATCCTTCTACCTATCTCTCTCTTTGTCCCCTTTCTCTCTCTCTCTCTCTCTCTCTCCCTTTCTCTCTCTTTCCCTTTCTCTCTCTCTCTCTCTCTCTCTCCCCGTTTACCTCCCTCGCCTCTTATCATGATTACAATGACACAATGGATTATGTTATAAACAACCTTTTTTCACTAATACCATTTCCCTCAGGGTTTCAGCGGAGTCCACTGTGAAACCAGGCTCACATCCTGTGGCACCCTCCCTTGCCAGAACGAAGGCACCTGTGTGGAATATATGCCAGACTCTGACGATTACACTTGCATCTGCCCTTCCGGCGTCAGCGGTGACAACTGTGAGATCGACTACAACGAGTGTGGCTCCTCGCCCTGCATCAATGGAGGCACTTGCCTGGACGAGTACGGCCAGTACCGCTGCGACTGCCCGGCAACATGGAACGGTCACAATTGCCAGTTGTTTGACTCGACGTTTGCGGGAGGCATTGGAATGGACCCAGTGATCCTAACTTCACCTCCAGAGACAACTCTAGCGGTCGTGCCTACCACCACAGAGTCACCTAGGTGCTCTCAGGAATGCCTGCAGAGGAAGGGAAACTCTATTTGCGATGTGAGTAATGCATTTGTCCCCAGATCTTGGGATTAAGTATGTGGAGTGAGAACTCTGCTCTAAAACAAGAAAAAATGTGTTTAGTTACCACAGACCTTGTAATGTTACCTTGAGGGAGAACCCATCTCTAAAAGGATGAAAATGTTAGATTTTGATTACCAGTAGACCTCGTTTATGAAGACTTTATACAAGAAGTTGTGCTCTTGCACATGCTGACCCTATCCAATTATCAAATGTATTCATTTTGCTAGAGCAGTGATCTCATTTCTGGAAGGTCCCAGGATTGGTAAGGCATTGATCGTCATAACCAAGTCCTTTTAAATGGTCTATATGCTGTAGGTCCCTCTTCTTACTTAGCAACATTTGATAACAATAATAAGATATAAGATTTGTAAGGTGCCTAATCAACTTAAAATCAAATGCTCCAGGCGCATACGGACAAGCATATGCTTCCTTTCATGTAAAATTCAAATAAAACCACGATAATCGATGGGTCAAAACTTAATTACCTTGAACTCTTCAAATCCGTCAGGATCACTGTAACACCCATCTCTGCGAATGGGACGGCAAAGACTGTTCCTTGAACCTGGATCCATGGGAGAACTGCACCGCTCTCAACATCCCTTGCTGGAACTACTTTGGAGATGGCAAGTGCGACAGAGAATGTAACACTCAGGGATGTCTCTTTGATGGCTTTGACTGTGCAGATCAGAAGCCAGAAGAGTGCATGTAAGTATTTCAATTTGTGGCTTGATAACTCCTAAAAGGAGACAATTTACTCATAGTATTGATTTTTGCCTGGATAGCTATCACTTGCATGTTTACTGACTTGTTTATGTAGTATTACTACGACCAATCCCTTGATTTCTGAGGTTTATTTTCTTTTAGTAGTGAAATACATTGTTGAAAAAAGAAATTGGGTATCTAATGCATACTGTTGTGCACTTGTTCCAACAGGGACAACAAATTTTGTCTGGAGCGCTACGGGAATGGGTTCTGCGATGAGCAGTGTAACAACATTGGTTGTCTGTACGATGGACTGGATTGCGAGGAGATCCCGGAGTATGCCCATGGTGTGCTCATCGTCTACGTCATCATCGACTACCAGGAGATGCTCACCGTCAACAGGTCCCAGATGTTCCTTCAAGACATGAGTGTTGTTCTGAACACCGTCGTCCTCTTTGCCCCGACGGCCGACAACCAGAACAAGATCGAGCCTTGGGAGAGCGATCCGAGAGCCGTCCGAGCACCCGTCAAGAGGGATGTACTGGTCGTTAGCGGAGATGGAAGACTGACTGTAGAGAAAAGGGAGGTTAACTCGAACTCAGATGATGGGTAAGTTTGAAAAGCTTATCATGACAAATGGTGCCCTAGCGTTTTCTGACCTTGGTCTGCTTCTGTAGGCTGCCGTACTCACCATAGAAGAATTATAGTTAACGGTGTCAACTTAAATAGAGCACTTTCATTTTGTTTTTAAAATCTTTGTGCTAAGTACTTCAACCATTGTTTCTGTGTTTCACTTCCTCTTCCAATAAAGTGACTGATGATATGATCATAATGTTGGGGTAGTTGTACATTTCTTTTCTTTCTTTTAAATTCAAGATGCATTCAGTATTCTGTACCCATCATACAGTGTATATTCATTAATCCTAATGTATTATTCAGTGATATGTAATTGACACATTTATTTTCGAGATTTAATACGACATCCACAACCCGCAATCCCCAAATACCAGAAAACGTTCTCGGTTCAACCCATCTTTTCCTCTCCTCTGTTACAGCTCTAAATGTTTCCTGTTGCTTGACAACCACAAATGCCACATTGACCGGCCTGGCAACTGCTTTGAGGAGGCAGCGGATGCCGCAGCGTACCTGGCAGCTCTGGTCACCAACGAGCTTCTCCCGATAAGTTTACCCATCGTGGGAGTCGGAAGTGAAAGTAAGAGTCTTTTGCCTCTGTTCTTATTTATAGCCCCACTGTACTACTTGAAGCTACTTGCTCCCTCTATATAGAAAACAATACCTAAGCAATACCTATTGGTCCCCCATGATCCTCTTTTTATTATGTTAATTGAGAGCTGAGTTGAAGAGTTAGCCACCTATCGGTGACCTTGCTGGGTGGTCTAATCCCTCCTGGCCAAACTAGTACAGACAGGCTTTAAACCCTTTTGCACCTTGGCAATAGCCGATATAATGCATGTAGTGCATGAGCAATTTTGTCAGTCCTTTCCATGCAGTTGGAATTCCGAATTTTTTTCTTCCATTACCTAATGACTACTGTGCACAATATCTTACCAAAATTAGCAAAGAATATTGCAACTGTGCACAAAAAGTACTTTCTTCTGGTTTTCAAGTGAAATATAGGACTTACAGCAACCAATAGAAGGTTGATTTAATAAGGTGATGATGGCTTTTTGTATAGCAACAGTATCCGCCTCTGCAGGGTGACTATGACTTGGATCCTGCTACAATACTCTTGAGCGGCTGTAGTCATCGTGTTCTGAACGCATCTTTCCGTTTTGACTATGAATCATAATTTCTTTATTTGTTACAGCTCCGTCTTCCGGGCCCGGTCTGAGTGTGAATGTTCTGATAGCTCTTGCTATCATTGGAGCATTTGTGCTTGCCGCCCTGTTGGTGATTGCACGGAAGCGGTTGAGGACCAACGGGACGTGGTTCCCCAGCAACTTTGTCCGCACATCGTCCACCAAGTCGGAAACACAGAAAGCCACCAGGTAAGATAATCTCCAATATCTAGATAAGACCAGAGCCATCTATACACAGAGTTTGGCCAACCCGGTTCAAGTTGGACACAATATGGCAACTACTGCTTTGTTGAGCAAGCACAAAACAAAAAGAATATACGCCATGTTGTGACCCAGTGAAACCAAGTTGGCCAATCCCTGTGTATAGATGGCTCTTGATAAGACTATATTCCTCTATTTTGGGCTGAATTTTCAATTCACGTAGCATGTATTTTCAGTTAGCATTATGTTTCTCATCTATTATTTGACAAAGGATGCCTATGACTTTATCCACCACTACAGATAAATCTTGCACTGGAAACAGTTCAATAATCTTGAAGACTTTGGTATATCTATCCCATGATGAATGCAATGTAACACAGGGAGATTATTTGTATGGCATATAACGTATGTAACATGTCTAGTAGTAAATAACTGTATTATGTATTGTGTATATGTTTTTATTTGTTGTTGTTGTTGTAATTTTTACCATGTACTTTGTCACTTGCCTACAGGCCTCCTTTGAAAGGGAGGCCTTGTGGCTCTGAAGGCACTACCCTGTATTTTAAAGAAGAATGAATAAATAAATAAGTAAATATACAAGGTGAAGGACTACTTACAAGGTGCTTCTGTAAACTTTTAAGCTATAAATCGGATGTGGTACCCTCATGTACAAGTCAGACTTCATTGCTATATTTTTCTTCTCATCCCTCCATCAATCTTACCAGGGAGTGTCCAATCGGCAACGAGTCCCCTCCGTCCACTATCTGCTCGTCCATAGATGCTGGTGAAGATGCCATGAATGCCTTGGACTACCGAGGTGCCAAGAGACAGAGAGTAAGTACCCCCCCCCCCCCTCCTATGAGTCGTCTCATTGGCTCTTCCTTGAAGTACTACAACTATGAGTGCCATCTTTGGCGTTGGCGTTTCTTACTAGCCATGCCATTGACCGTGGAAAAAAACTGTCAAAGATATTTTGAATGACATCCATTACTGCAGTGACAGATATAAGTATGTAAAGTGTACAGACATATAAGGAAGGATGTAAATATACCTCATATTGGTGCAATGCAGTAATTTATCATGTAATTGCATTGTAAAAGAAAGTATCCTGTTATTCTGAGTAAAGGTATCAAATCAAGCTGTAATGAAAGATGTAAGTAACTGCAAAGAAACAATAAGCATTGAAAAGATTGACTTGTATATATATAAATATAGCTTTTTCCATTTGATGAGCATTTTTTTAGGTGCCAGTATACATGTACATTAGTCATTCAAAGTTGTTTATTCATGACAGTGCTTAGTAAAGTAATGAGTAATTGATCATGTAACTGCATTGTAAAGGAAAATATTGAGTTATTCTGAATTTAGGTATCAAATTAAGCTGTAATGAAAGATGAAAGTAACTGCAAAGAAACAATCAGGCCTGATAAAAACCCGATTTAAATCGGTTTTCCGATTTTTTATATTTTTCCCGATTTTTTCCCGATTTTTTTTTTCTTCCCGATTTAAAAAAAAAAAAAAAAAAAAAAAATCCAGATTTTTTTTTTTTTTTTTTTTTTTACCAGATTTTTTTTCTTCTTCGCTATTAATTTTGTCCTGATTTTCCTGATTTCCACCTTATTTTCTCTGTTCTACCCTATTTTTTCCCAAATTTCCCTATTTTTTCCCAATTTTCTCACTCGAAAGGGGGGAATGTTGTTAGATGCCATTTTTTCCCCGCGAATCCTCTTCTTTTTTTTTTACTCAAAGGGGGGCGTGGTTGAGGGGAAAACAAAAAACCTATTTTTTTTTAGTGCTCACTATCACCCCTGAACAATAAGCATTGAAAAGATTGACTTGTATATATAAATATATTTTTTTCCATTTGATGAGCATTTTGTTGCATTTCAAGAAATTTGTTTAGGTGCCAAGTATACATTAGTCATTCAAAGTTATTTATTCATGACGGTGCTTAGTGAAGTAATGAGTTTCAATTTTTATTCCCCCCCCCCCCCCCCCCCACTTCCACAAATTTAGATCTCCCAGCATAGTCCGACCAGCACCCTCTATGGCCAGGGTCACACAACCTTAGAGATGGACTCTCAGTGGACCACCCTGACTAGCAACAGACTACCGCACCCATCCATGGCTCTCACACCTCCCCGGGACCAAGAACCCTCGCTCATCATCAACAAGGGTCCCGACGGCCTTACCCCTCTCATGCTGGCCGTCATGCGGTCAACGACCGTAACCAGCGACCAGGAGGAGGAGGCCAATGCCCACTTCATTGAGGACCTCATCACCAGGGGGGCGGACATCAACAACCGGACGGAGACGAGGGGCGAGACCGCGCTCCACTTGGCGGCAAGGTTTAACCTTCCGGTGGCTGCGAGGAAACTCCTGGAGTATTCGTCGAACACAAATGCCGAGGATAACATGGGAGAGACACCACTGCATGCTGCTGTCAGGGCCGATGCCATTGAAGTCTTCAGGGTAAGAACCATGAACAGATTTCTTTTCCATAGCAGATTTCAAATGTCTCCTTGCGACTTGTTATGTAAAGGAATGTGATCATACATGTACAACTCATCGAGGCATACTTGTAGCAATGCGTCAGTTACCCATATATACGTTAATGTGCATGTAAATAGATATAGGCATGTGAATATACATGTTAATTGCATAATTTTGTCACACAGCACATTGCAAGCAAGTTGCAAAGAGCATGTAACATAAAGTAGAGCATAACTCTTGTATAAAGCACAGTGAATCAGTCTGCATTCTATCTTTTCTGAATGAGTAGCTTTCGAAACCTATTGAATTCAGTCATAACCGGGTTTGAAAGATATGCAATTTCTCAGTTGCCCAAATTATGGCATTTGCCTAATATTTGATCCATGATTTTAACAAAATATTCTGCAATTTTCTTTCTGATGAACAGCTGCTGATTCAGAACAGGTCCACCCAGATCGATGCTAAGACCAAGGCTGGCTTCACCCCTATGATCATTGCTGTCAGACTCGTGGTAGACAACATGGTGGAAGAGCTCGAACTCGCAGGCGCTGACATCGCAGCCACAGATAATGATGGTGAGATAGCGATAAAGCATGTCCCCTTTTCATCAATTTATTCATTCATATATTTATTTTTAATCATTTACATGATCTGTTCTTAGTATAATTCAAATGATATTTATGTTTATTTGCCCCAACTGCTTAAGAAGTGGCCTGAAATTATGATCCGTCATATGCTCCTGCAACAATTGATCCAGGCTCTCCGTCATCACAGCTATCAGGTTTATATTTAGGGTTAGGGTTGCAATTAGGTCTTACATCAGGTTAGTGTTGAGGATAGGGTTACATATAGCCTTCAGTCTAGGGTCAAAGTTGGTACTAGCTATCAGAAATTCTTTTGTAATTTTAGCTTCTTTCATGCATCTACATGTGCATTCCCATTGTTACTTGCAACATAGAAGGTCCACTTGTTTTTTCACTTCTGTCAAAGGAATTTTGTGTTTGATATTCTTATTTTTTCTCCTATTTTTATTCCAATGCACAGGTCGATCAGCACTAATGTGGGCCGCGGCTCTCAACCACTTACCGGCTCTTGAGTTCCTCCTCAAGAAGGGTTCCAACAAGGACTTGCAAGACAATCAGGTATGTTATCAAAATCTCTTCCAAGTGCTGGCATCCATTTTTCTCCTACCATACCAGAAGATATTTCAGTTGCCACATTGCTCTATGTGTTTTGTTTTATTGCTTTCTTCCATATACCACATGTAGCATCATACTTGATAATTGGCTAATAATAATTGACTGATAATTGAAAATTGTAAATCATTGTACGTCATGAGAAATTAGGATTATAAAGTGACATATTTGCTAAGGTAGAATTGATATAGAATGATTAATTATGTTTTCTTTGATTTTTTGTCTTTCAGGAACAAACGCCTCTGTTCCTCGCTGCCAAAGAGGGCCATGTGGACGCCGTGAAAATGCTCCTGGATCACGGAGCAAACCGGGAGATCACGGACCATCTGGACATGTCTCCGAGAGAGATTGCCAATAGGATGCGCCTCCACAATGTGGTTCGTCTCTTAGACACCTACAGCATGATGAGTCCTGCTCTCACCCCCAACAGCCACGTGACCAGTCCAATGGACATGCACAACGGAGAGCTGGTTGCAAATGGCTACTCCAACGGAGCCAAGCCTAAGAAAAAGCGGGGCACGAAAAATGGAGATCGGGATGCGCGAAGAGGAGAATCAAAACGAAAGGGGAAGAAGCGGCCTAATTCGGATGAGTCTCTGCCGCCACCGATGCCATCGCCACCTGACTCGGTGGAATCGCCTCTGGGCTATAATAGGACTCCACCTCCCGGAGGTATTTATTCGTTGCCTGTGACGAAGCAGAATGTGATGATGCCGCAAGATCATTATCAGTTGAAGGAGGTCGGGAGGCATGGGCAAGGGCCACACGTCGTGGACATGCGCCCGAACATGAACGGTAGATTGTATAGCTCCGGGAATAACCCAAGCCCAGCTAAGGGGTCGATGGGAGCAGAGAAGATATGGCAACAAAATGGCATGTCAATGCATGTGCCTGACTCCTCGCAGGTCCTGGTCCAAGGCAACACCTCGCAGCAGCCCATGGCATTGATCAGGCAGCAGGGCCCCAGCACACAGTCCCTACAGCAGACCATGAGTCCAGAGGCCTGTGATACCAGCCCTAAACCTTGCACTGCAGTTCCCAGTCCCGCCCTATCCACCCAATACAACATGGCTTCCAGCCCTAATCTCCCTGTAACAACCAGCCAAGCAACTCAATACGCCATAGCCAACAACATGTACGCCGGCAGCCCCCATCGGGGCACAGTACCTCAACAGATGCATAGTATGTATCAAAACCAAAGGATGAATCCTAATGCTTGTATCAGTGAACTGCCAAATGGCCATCCCAACTCGCCGGAGAACTGTATGCCAGAATACATTATAAGAGAAGAACTCTTAAACCCTGCCAAACAGAACATGTATTTGTTAAATGCACCAAAGTTGTCAAACGGCCAGCACAGAGACGCCATGTCGGAGAAGACGTCATTCTCGAATCAACACAGCCACAATGGGAGCACGATGGACCCCTCCTGTACGTACGCCATGGCGATGACAGATCACTCGACCTTCCCGACGCCCTCGCCGGAATCCCCAAGCAAGTGGTCCAATCCATCTCCAATCTCAGCGTCGGATTGGTCCGGGTCAGAGGCCATCTCTAGCCCGCCTGTCCCTACCAACCAGCAGCAGATGAATGGACAAGAGTTACTCAACGGGCACACCGGCAGGTTAATGAACGGCATCGACTTACAAGGAGGAGCCTGCACAGGAGTTACATATATCTAAAAAACAAACAAACATGCTTATTGCCAAGTGATAGACTCTGTTGGGAGAGAGAGAAATACAAAGGAAAAGCAACTTTGAAGTACATTCTGACTATATTGTTATAATGATTGGAGCAGCAAGTTGGGGCAACCGCTGTAAAATGTTCGCAGAGGTGATCGTCACATTATTTGTATGGAGATTGAAGTCCAGTACTTTTTTATTGAAATATGCTTCCGTAATGCTTGGTTAAAGCTGTTCAAAAAAAAAAAGGAGAAAAATCATCATCTTTGTTGATGATATTCTCTCCAGATCCCTTTCCTGAAACACACATTCCAATGTTTGTTTGACCAAATACATGTGAAAAACCAACAGGGCATTCCTGACATTCTTCGGACCAAAATCATGGTTTTGTATCCAAACAACATTCTCGTTTTCATTTGATTAGTAACTCTAATCAAAGTCTTCATGACAAGACATTCCACATGGAGCACAGTCGATTAGATTCTGGACCACTTTTCAGACCAAATATCACAAATGTGTTTTGTTCATTTTTCCTTGTCGTAAAATGGAAGGCCTTACTATGCATTTCTGTTTGACATGAACAATGTTTGAGATGTTGATGGATCCCTAGGGTTGTTTGTAACTTGAAGATTTTTTTTCTTCTTCAAACACAAGTATTAAATATTATATGTACTGAACGGAAAGCTGCCATTTCAATAAAAAATGTTCTTATTTATGCACAAAACTATGTTTTGGAGTAGTTCTGGCTCTGTGTATTTGAAATGACTACGATATGATAATGTACTATTTACAACGAGGCTGTGTACTGCGAATATAAACGTACTAGTGATGTTGACAAAGTACTTAAATTTTACCATGCACTCTGTACTTATATTGTTCTATGCGAGTATGCGTTACTACCGAAATATCATTTCATTGTTGATTTGTACATGTATAAATGTCATGTAAGTTAATGTATATTATCCAACTGCCACAAACATACTATGTCAATGCTTTTTATAGGTGAAAGACTGATTATTTTGTTATTATTATATAATATAGAAGATATTTTTTAAGTATCATGTATTGTAAATTAGGGCAATTATGTATATTGAATGGAATTGATTGATTCGTCTGTCATTATATCAGAAATTCTTTTTCATAGCAAAGGACATGTCACAACACAATCATCCATAATGATGAAGTGTACAATGATAAATTATGTGTTTTTTTTTAAACAGAAGAAAATCGAAATGAGGTTTTAAGGAAGTTACAAAACCAACACACAAAACACTTTGGAAAATGGACTTGTTGAATAGGGTCAAAAATGGTATTGTCTACAATGCCATTTTTTTCCTCTTAAAGAACATCATCTGATTTGCCTTTGTGCATAATAAATGAGTATCTTTGTTCCATTTTAGTTGAATGTTACTGTTGTGATGAATGCATACTAATAGGCTGGAATGGGATGATCGTTCTCTACCCCTTTCAAATTTTCTTTTCAACCTCGAAACTTTTATGTGTAAATTATCAAATTGTGCCTTGTTCTCGAGGGATTAAGGTCTGCAGAAGCTGCAAAAACAAGCAATATTTTTAGTGGTACTGTGTACTTTGAAACCAACAAACACAAAATGTAAAGTCAATTTATATACTCTTCAAATAATAGATTTCCATCATTATTTACCTCAAATAGGAAATGGCTTGTATCATAAAATTTGTAATAAGTTTTGAAATATGAGCTGTTCACATATTTAGTGATTTTGGTCAAAGTTCTTTCCTATCAACATCATAAGATAAAAATGTAATCCAATTTTTAGTCGGTATTGTTTCTCTCCCGTCTTTTCTATCTCTGTAATATGTAACATTTGACGCCCTTTTTAAAGTGCCTATATATGTGTAAATAACTGCAATTGTACTTAAATGCTTTTTTAAAGAAGATGACAACTCTTATAAGTAAATAGTTTTTGTTCATGTTTCTGATGGGGATATGGAAGTATTGTATGCAACCACCACTAATGGAAAATCATAAGTATTTTCCTCTTTTGTTTAAATGACGGCCTTGTTTTGTATTCAAAAAGAGCTCCCTGTTATGAAGTATGATTTTTTTTAAATAAATAAGTGGCAAAGCTGATTTGGCTTTTTTCTGAGCTATGACGACTGTAGAGTGGTAATTTTTGTATATTTGTATATGTAAATTATGTTATATTATATATAGTATCTCCTATGTTTTGTATCGCTGTTGTAATTTCGGAATTTCCAGTACACGACGTAGCTGTCGGGAGAGTACTCGTTGTAAATTGTAACGTAGATGATGAAAATGTGGAACTTATTTATCCGAGAGTGGGAGTCTTTTGGAGGCATGGAAACTTCTTCACAAATTAAAATGGAACAGGGTAGATGAACAGAAAAACTTTCCCCAACCACTTTTGTTTTAAAATCTGAAAAAATATTTGGTTTGTTTTGTATCTTTATAACAGTTTCCCAATTCATAAACATTTTTATTTTTATGTAAGTGAAATTTTATATCCAAGATATGATTTTTTTTGTTAATCACGTCAATCAATCAGAAAAATTAGTATTTATTTGAAATGTATGTGCATTGATAATGTGCATTTATATCTTGATAATGGACAGGATTTTTGTATACTCTGGCACTGATGAAAGCATTTTAATAGACATTGTCAACAAAGATTTTTGAAGAAATCCTCAACAATATTAAATTTGAAAGAGGGTGAGAGCAAGATTAAATCTTATATAAATATAAGGCAAGAAGGTACATTGATCCTGTCTTGCTTAATAAGGAATATGCCATTTTTTTGGAAGATGTACATGTACATTCTTATACATGCAAACTGAAAACTTTCAAACGTGCCTTCACTGCCAATATACCTTGTATTTGTGATTTTGTGTTCATGTTTTTGTATTGCATTAGAAATGCCCCTGGAAAGTCTCGTTGCATATTTAGTATTTCCTTGTTTTAATGTTAAACGCAAAGTTTCTTGATCTTCTGCTAATGTTACATTTTCTAGCAGTTTATATATCTTTTAAAATTTTGTGTTGATTTCACTTGTGTCAGTTTAAGATACCTTTTAAAATATGTTAGTTTTTAATTGAAATCCTTATGATAATTACTATTAGAAGGCTCAGATATCTTTCACCTTGGATAATTTCACTAATATCAAAACACCAAATTTTGACAGCTGTATATTTATAACAGCATAAATGGATCCACTTTTTGCACTAGTCATCCAGCATCTTTGTAGCAAATATTGTAACTCCACTTCACAATTCTTTGTAAAGATGTAAGAATGTACCATATCTCATTCGATTCCTATGTTAACAATATTTGGTTTTCATTTGCCAAACTCTAAACCAAACATCTCAATTTTTTAATACATGCTGTCATCTAATTTTTAAAACCTGTTTGATGTACATGTTTTGATTTAATCAATTTTTAAATTGCCAAATGACTGTCCGTTATTTGATGTCCTTTTGACCCTGTTTTACCTTGAATCATAGTTTTTTTTTTAATTCTTCTTACTGATAAGACACCTTGTTGAAATCTCGAATCTAAATGACTTACACCTTTAATGCTGTTGTAGAATTGTAACAACCATGTTCTGTTTCGAAGTACATGAGGGTGTTTCATCTCCAGGTTTAGAACCAAGTTTGATTTTGACAGCTGTAAGTTTGACTGTGGCTTCGTCTTAAAATCTATTTGTTTCAATACTTTGTGAAGCGCCCCCATGGTTTCATTATGCAGTGTTAGTTTGGTTGAAAGGCCCCAAGGCTATAAATGCTTTGAGAAAATGTAATGTGCACTTCAGTTCTTTAAATCCGTAAATTTTTTTACCTTCTGCTCGATTATCTGCTTAATCTCTTTGTGATCTTATTTGAGGGCTATATTTATATGAGTTCTTCTGGGACAAATGCTAGTTGTTGATTCATACTCATACATGATTACAACGTGCCATGCTAGATGGTGTATTATTGTTATGATGATTATCATAGGCCAATCATTTTGTTATACACCCATCATCCTATCTTGTTTACCTGTATTTTTTTGTGAAGGGTTGTCAATAAAGTATCTGGATATTCAGATGATTTTAGATGAAAGCTAAATGGTTGGAATGTGTGAGTACATTTTGTGCTTGTATTTTGAAATTGGACATTGAGATAACGGGGTATTGAAGACTTAGGAATTACATTAAAGAGAGGGTTTGTGAAGTGGAAGAGAGAGAGTGCGCAATAGGCATTGATACATGACTTTGAAGATCCAAGAGAGAGAGAGAGGGGGGAGGGGGGAAGAGATATTTACCATGAGTTACTTACAGGGAAATTAATTTTAGATGAAAGCTAATTGGTTGGAATGTGTGAGTACAATTTGTGCATGTATTTTGAAATGGGACATTGGAATGAGGGGGTTTTGTAGAATAAGATTGAAGTACATTAAAGAGAGGGTTTGTAAAGCGGAAGAGAGACAGAGAGAGACATTGAGACATGATTTTGGAGATCCGAGAGAGAGAGAGAGAGAGAGAGAGGGGGAGGGAGGGACAGAAGAGAGGAGATATTTACCATGAGTTACTTACAGGAAAATTAATTTTAGATGAAAGCTAATTGGTTGGGATGTGTCGGTACATTTTGTACATGTATTTTGAAATGGGACATTGGAATGAGGGGGTCTTGGAGAAGAAGATGAAGTATATTAAAAAGGGGCTGTCAAGTGGAAGAAAGACAGAGAGAGAGAGAGACAGAGGGGCATTGAAACATGATTTTGGAGATACAAGAGAGAGAGAGGGGGGGGGGGGGAGGGAGAGAAGGAAGGGAGGAGATATTGATCGTGAGTTACAGGGAAATAAATCATTTTCAAAGGAAAACATGAAGGGGAAAAAGAAGGAAAGAAAGAAAGAATGTGGTAAAGGCATTTTGTTCTGTTTGTGGAGAAAGAGAAAAGGGAAGACCAGGGGTAGATGAAATTTACAGAGACTACAGGTGAAGACATTTGGTGTCGTGGGGTGAATATTTGTTAAGGAAAAAAAGGTATTTTAGATTGTTGTTTTTTTAATTGAAAAATGCCAATGCAACGTAGGCCCATTTTCATGTCCAAGTTCAACAGAAATTCTACACACTGAATATCCGTAGGGGCATCATATCAGTGATGGCAATGGAATTTTATTTAAACCAAAATACAATGTTTCATTGTCATATAGCAACATTACATACTTAGCAAAGACTATTACCAGGCACAGTTCTAGAAGAACGTTTCATGGGGAGGGGAGGGGGTTAGATGTTACTTGCGCTTCGCTTAAATTCAGATATAATGAAGAATTTGGGGAGCCCACTCCACTCCATCACACCCCCCCCCCCCCCTCCCCTTAGCCTCTAGAACTGCAACTGCACATGACCGGAATTTCATTCCACAACCAATTGAGGTTTCTAAAAAAAGCTTTGGTTTTATCTTTTCTATTTTGTTGTGATATTGTTATTTTATGTTAAGGATTTAAAGAATGGTAGGCTTTTACAACATGTAACCTTTCATGTTATTGTCGTCATGAGGAAAAACATTTTATCGAAATTTCACCCTTTTCGGTATTGTTTAACTTTTGTTTTCTGACCCCCAATTTCTAGAGTGGTTTTTATTGCTGATAAGGGACCTTTCTTAACTAATCGGCCTAAGTCAGATAGTCTGGCGATGCTAAATGTGTAGTACAAGGGGGTACAAGGGATAAGGGGACAGAACTCTTTATATACATAAGAGAGAGAGAGAGAGAGAGAGAGAGAGAGAGAGAGAGAGAGAGAGAGAGAGAGAGAGATAATTATTATTTTTCACAACTCATTTATTTATCATGCTTATTATTAGGACCATTCCACTTTCTAAAGTTGAGAAGTCCAATAAGGAAAGAGAACAAAAGAGGAAAATTGCTATGACTCATTTTTCTTTTAGGACAGCATTTACCAAAATGTGACTCAGTATCATTGTTTTTATGCATCCTGTTCCGTCGAGACCTTTTTAAATACATGGATTGCGTCTATTCGATATCTGCAAGAGCAGTATATCCCGATATCCCTCAGTATATTCCTACCAACGAAAATGATCAAATTTGAGTCTGCGCATACAGACTAATTGCTTGGGCTCATGATCGGAACCGTGTCACATGATACAATAGTTGTTGTCACCTGATTCACTAGGTTTTGCAAAGCATTACTGCATAAGCATGCAGCAATGCATCAGTTCTGGATCGACTCATTGCATTGGCCGATGGTGGATCTTTGTGCTGGCGTTGGGGCAAATTCTGACTTTTTTAAAGGCAATCTGTAAGAATGGAGTTGATTAAAAATATACTGGTACCTCCTTTCCTCTGCTTACTAATTTCTTTGTTGGTGTGTTCAGCGAATCCGCTTCCTCGATATCCATACAAGGAGAAATTTTTCGACCAATTTATCGACCACTTCAACTCCGAAAGTCATGGAAAGCAGACCTTCAGACAAAGATATTTCGTCACAGGTAAGATTACAAATTCATCACCTCTGATAAAAAAGCAGGCGCTAGTGTAGCAAGGTATCCAAAATATAGCCTACTAAAACAGACCTCAAATTTTAGACCCCAAATTTCGTGTTTATCATTATCTCTAGGGTTAGGGTTAGGGTTAGGGTTAGGGTTAGGGTTAGGGTTAGGGTTAGGGTTAGGGTTCTAGGGTTAGGGTTAGGGTTAGGGTTAGGGTTATTAGGGTAATGATGACCACAAAATTTGGGGTCTGTTTTAGTAGGCTATATTTTGGATACCTTGCTACACTAGCGCCAAAAAGCAGATCATTTAAAGGTAATACAAAGTTTTGGTATTGGGTCATGAATATGGTTTATATTTGGAAGCATATGCGATCCTACAATATTCAGTGATCGTTGTCGCGGTAAAAATCAAGTCTAAACATGCTAAACTAGCTAAGTTATGAAATTGTAAATAATAAACTCTATCTATGGCCCGAATTCACAAAGTCAAAGGAGGTTTGTCGACAAACCGAGGTTTAGGTACGTCATATGAGGCATTTTGACGCATTTTTTTTACAAACCTGGTTTGTAAATAACAAAAGGAGGTTTGTCGACAAACCTCCTTTGTAAATTTGGTTCTTTATGTTGTAGGATCTATAGCTCCCTCTCAAGGTCAAGATATTAATTAAGCTTTAAAACAATACTTCTTGACTAAAATCGACCAATTAGCTTTTACCGTTCGGAAATTATATATCACAACTACATATAACCTCTATGTCTAACATTTGCAAATTTTGATTTAATAAAAAATTCTTCTCCTTTGTTTCATTTTAACTTTTCAAGAAATCTTCTTTCACAAACACAACACAAAAATTAAAAGGTTCATCTTGTAATGTTGTATTTTTGTAAGTTGTATATTTTGACGTAATTGTTACATCAATTCCTAGAGCATCAAACAATTATGATTCACCACACTTACTGGTAACATCAAATTCACTGGCAAATGTTAGTTCATGTAATAAAATCAGAAATTGATATCTTAGTTTGCAAGATTTGTTGTGGTCGAAGCCGCGCGCGTTTGTTCTGGTTCTGATTCGTGCAATGAACATAGCTGCCTGTACCATGCGCCCACATTACGCTAGACATTTTTTTCGGAGTGACAGAGTTTTCCATGTGTTCCTGATGATAATTCATGAGCAATCGTGCGATTTGTAAACATCACAAAAATTATGACCTCTCATGCATGTTCGTGACTTTGATACTGCCTGAAACATGAATCCATGTGATATAAGCTAAAACTTACTGATTTTGCATTGCCAATATGATAATTTATTCACAACAATAGTGATTACCGGTGTAAAAACATGGCGAATGTCGTAAATTCAGCATACTCCCTGTGCGCCCTCTAATACACTACTATTTTTGTAATGTCAGCATCAAATTGGCAATACTCCCCAGGGAGTGTGGATGGTGCACACTGTGCGTGAATGAATCCAATGACGGGTAATAATATCTGAAAAGCCCTTGGAGACGGTATTTTGTATTTAGCTATATAAATCAAGATTATTATTATCATTATTTCTGATTTAATTTGAATCATCATTCTCTTCTTTCAGATGATTACTGGCAGAAGGGCAGCGGACCAATCTTCTTTTACACTGGCAATGAGGGGGCTATAGAATCATTTTTTGATAACACAGGTTACATATTTGACATTGCACCTGAGTTCGGCGCCCTTGTCATTTTTGCCGAACATGTAAGTTAGCTCCTCTAAGATCTATAGTCCTTTGAAATGTAGCAATCTACTACCAGTATTCAAATCACTATCGTCAAGTTTAGCTTAATTTCTTTCTCTTCTAAATTTTCTGTGATGAAAGAAATACGTTTCTTTATGGAGGACATGCAAAAAAATGTTAAAATCAAATACCTATGTTGAACAACAGAAAGGAAAGAAAAGAAAGAGAAAATATTATTTCAGAAAAAACGAAAAACAAAGGATTCAAATATTCAATATGTAACCAATTATAATGATGGATGGGTTGATTCATACTCTCTGATTTAGGAATCAAATTCATCATAAGTTATTCATCCCTTTTCAATATTTGTAAAGCTTTTACTATGGCAGTGTGACCATAGTTTTGGCGTGACCTAAGTTCATGCACAGTTCCAAAATATTGCATATTTTGTCCGGTGTAGCAAATGCTGATCCAAAATGGAATTCATAGATTGCGATATCGCTGGAATTCTTTTGACAATAAATTTTAAGTTGCGCCATTTGTTGTCAAGAATTTTGATGTCCATTTACTCATTGATCTCAGTGAATTTGCATAGAATATAAGAAATCATGGATCAACTATTCCATTCCGGAATTTTTATGAAAGGTGCACATACTTTGGACTCCCCGTCATACCCTGTTTATCGTAGTTCTCTCACTCAAAGCCATCCAACCAATATTGGGTTTACTTTTCAAATCTCAAAGCGTAGTATTATACAATTTACTTATCCGTATACTAAGATTTTTTTTGTTTCTCATGACCTTTAACCTTATCACAGAGGTACTATGGGAAGAGTCTACCGCTCGGCAACCAGTCTTTCACCCCGGCTAACCTAGGCCTGTTAACGGTAGAACAAGCCCTTGCAGACTATGCGACACTGATCACGAGCCTGAAGGAAGAGCCAGGGTTACAGGACTCACCTTTGGTGGTGTTTGGTGGAAGGTAAATAATACACTAGTCCCGCAATTTGGGGTCCAGGACTTGCCTGTGGTGGTGTTTGGTGGAAGGTAATATACACTAGTCAAAGTTGACTTGGTCCCACAATTAGGGGTCCAGGACTTGCCTTTGGTGGTGTTTGGTGGAAGGTAATATACACTAGTCAAAGTTGACTTGGTCCCACAATTAGGGGTCCAGGACTTGCCTTTGGTGGTGTTTGGGGGAAGGTAATATACACTGGTCAAAATTGACTTGGTCCCACAATGAGGGGTCCAGGACTCACCTTTGGTGGTGTTTGGTGGAAGGTAAATAATACACAGATCAAAATTGAATTGTTCTCACAATTAGGGTCCAGAGGGGTGTATCTCAAAGACTAAGATCGACTTTAAGTTGGACTTAAATATGACAGGCCATTCATATCACTGTTTGCTCTCACCATTGGTCTCTTAAATATGATCTTTAGATACCGGTAATATGTTTTCATTGCCGGTGAACGGTGACAGCGAACATGCCAGGCATGCCATAGTTAAGTCCAACTTATAGTCAATCTTAGTCTTTGTGAAACATCCCCCCCCCCCCCTGGACTTGCCTTTGGTGGTGTTTGATGGAAGGTAAATAATACATGAGTCAAAATTGACTTGGTCCCACAATTAGGGATCCAGGGAGGTGTTTCACAAAGATCCTAAGTCGAGCTTAACTCTAAGTGTTAAAATAAAATATATTCAAAAGCAAAAATTAAAGTATTAAAATCAAAAACATGATATCTCCTTGATAATACAAAACATGAATGATTTGAATCAACATGTTATGCCTTTTAAAATAACTTTTACAAAATATTTTCAAATATGCTCACGGCTTTCCATAATTGCTAAGGCCGACTTAAAGATAAGTTCAACTTAGGATCTTTGTGAAACACCTCCCAAGACTTGCCTTTGGTGGTGTTTGATGGAAGGTAAATAATACACTACTGGTAGTCAAAATTGACTTGGTCCCACAATTAGGGGCTCATATGGGGGGTAAGGGTTTATTGCCGTTTCGTCTGCAACCGTAGAAGACGAAATGATTATTAGACCATGTGGATAGTAGACAGCCTGTGTGTAGACCATATGAGAATAGACTGATTGGGTAGTAGACCAAACAGCAATTCACTGAAGGTAAGCCCAATGGTGTCATATCATATTCAAAGGGTAATGCATGATCTCTAATGAAGTTTTTAAAAATTTACCCCCTTTTTCATAATTTCAATAACATTCCCACAAAATCTGACCCTATGTGCATAAAAACAGGCATAAAAGTGGCTCTAGATATAACCCTATTTGGGGCTTATTGTGTACACGTTCACAAAAAAGAATATTACATGTTTGTTTTTGCAAAACAAAGTACAAAAGTATGTTTTCACATGTTTGCATCCATTTTAATGATATGACATTGAAGCTCTGAACAATTTATTGCTCTTTAAAAAATGTACCCTATTTTTAAGTCTACAAACAATTATCCTTTTGACATGAAATTTCTTAATATCGTGTTTAATCAAAGTCAATTTAAGTGATATCATGGGGGTACGGTATGTATTTTATGAGTTTAGTAGCTACAAAGCCTACAAGTGTAACAAAAATATTTATTTTCTCTTTTAATACAGAGCCCTTTTTTAATAAATGTAATCCTTCCTTCCCTTTCCATTTCGTTAGTTATGGAGGGATGTTGAGTGCCTACATGAGGATGAAATACCCCCATCTAGTGGCCGGTGCTCTCGCAGCTAGTGCTCCTGTATACAGCACAGCCAATGAATCATCCCAAACCTACTTCTTCCAGACGGTCACAAAGGTAGATAAAAGACATCGTTTAACAATGTTAAATCTGAGATGCAAGGCCCTACATGTTATCAGTGTCTGTGATATGGTGTAGTATTGGAGCCCTAAAAGAATTGCGCTTCAAAATGATCATTAAGTGCCTCAAAAAAGTGTAAATCTTTGAGTGACCGGTTTTGCCATACTCATCTTCCCCAACAGAGTGTAGTGTTATAAAAACCGTTAGGAAAACAAATTTTGAAATTTTGATTTCCAATCATGAATATCGTGATAATTAGCCAGGCGATCGGCTTGTCAAACTCATGGGGTTCCTGACTGACCTAAAAGTTTATAATTGTCATTGCAGCATGAGCTAAATCAAGGATTTTGTTTCAGCATCTGAGACAAAGATTTTAAAGGTGGCATTCACTTTGCAGACTTTTTTTGGGGGGGGGGGATTGTTATCCACATCACTCTCAATATGAATGAAAGCCCCAGAATATTTCTTTTGGTAAGCTATATAAAATTAGCTTAATTTGAATCGTGGGGTCATCACATCAGGTCGGGTGGTTGCATTACCTGACCTTTAATGAAAACATGCCCCTTTACTCGAAAATGTTGGGGTAGTTTTTGTGAAATAAACCCCTCTCATCTATTTTTTGTCTGGTCCAATTTACTCGACACTTTGTGAAAATCATTCAACAAATCTATGAAGGATATATAGCGTCCTTAACAGGCTTAATCTTCACATAAACTTCCACTTTTGTTACACGACTTTTCATTAAGCGAGAGCTTGAAGATCATGTGAAGATATCGGATTTGAAGTAAGCCTATAAAATCTAACCTAAACAATGACAATCAGGTAACCAAGAATCCAAGCACACATTGGTTTTGTTTCTTTTAAAAATGCAGTTGGTGTATAACTGTAAGAGCAGAAACTTTCACTTATTAGCAGCGAATGTTTTCGCAGCATTAAGCCTCCGCAGTTTTGGAAAGTTTCAAAATGTTTTGTAGAAAACAGAAAGTATACAAATGTGATTTTCACTCTCAATAAGATGTTGAAAATTTGCTTGAACACCTGTATTAAAGTGGGACTGCACTACTTACTACTTGCTCCCTCTATACAGCCAACAATGCCTAAGTGGTACTCGTTGATCCCCCGTGGTCCCCTTTTTCTTATGTTAATTGAGAGCTGATTTGATGAGATAACCACCTGCCAGTGACCACGCAGGGTGGTCTAAATCCATCCTGGCCAAACTAGTGCACATAGGCTTTAAGGTTTTGCAACATCTCACAGTGGAATTATGCACAATGCTATATTAGATTATTAGATTATTTTCAAATTTATGTTTCGATCTCCTTCATTCACGTTGAAATCAAAGAGTTTCTCTAGTCTTTTCCTTTGTTTATCCTATGAACAGGATTTCTATGATGTGGATACCAATTGTCCGGACCTCGTGAGGGCGGGCTTCGCCACGCTGGATCAGTTGGCGGGCCAGGGAACATCAGGTATTGTGTATTTCTCTAAAGGGGATGTCCACCCTGATATGAAGTTGGTTATGATAAAATGAAAGAAACAAGGTTAGTGAAATTTCGAGGAAAAAGCGATTAAAAATAAGAAAGTGACCGTTTGAAGGTGCGATCAATCAAACACAAATTGGCAACTCTGTGATGTATCTTGAGGTCCTCTCACATTTGCCCTGAGTTCAAAAACTTAAATATTTCATATTTCCCTCAAGAAATTTGCAATCATGCATTCATCCTAAATATAATTATTGCAAATACGTTGATATACAACCACTTTATAAAACAGGTCTATTCAGGCATAAATAACTTAGAGAAAATGTAAATTTATAAAATCTTCTAATCAGAGCAAATTGGAGAGGAGCTTGCCATATGCGTCACAGTGTTGCCAATTTGTGTTTTACGAATGACATCTTCAAATATTCATAAATTTCCTATTTCTAATTGTTTATTGCTCAAACTTTCACTTACTTAAGGTGGATTTTCCCTTTAAGCAGTTTACCAGACCAAGTGGCAAGAAAGGCTATGTGTTGAAAATTGTTGAAAATGTATATTTAAAAAATTGCATTGTTTTATGGGTGAAGTCAGTGGAATGGATATCTTTTTTAATCCCTTCTCTGGTATGATATCCACATAATGCTTTCCAAATTCCTATCAGTTTGCTTAAATATTGAAAAAAAAATCCTGCCCTTACAAAATATTGACCAATTTGCTTTTAATCTTTGAATTTTCAGTGATGATTTTTTGTTCATTTAAGTTTTGAGTCGAAATGATACCCAATTCAATTATACACCAGCAGTCCTTGTATGCAGAGTCCCAAATGGTTCAATTAATTTTTTCTCTGCTGCACACTATACACCAGGGACTGTATAAATGTAATCCAAACACAAAGATAACAAATCTTCTTTATAATGCCAAACCAAAAAGAAGTTTTCCTTTTTTTTAATTAGAAGAATGCAATCTCACAGAGGATACAGGATCATATCTTTCTCTGTCATATTCTTGCAATACATCTAGGTCTCAACAAAATCAGTACTGCATTCCATCTGTGCAAGTCTCTGGTCTCCAAGGCTGATTACTATCATCTGCTGGGCTGGATCAGGAACTCGTTTACCTACCAGGCCATGTTGGACTATCCTTACTCAGCCTCGTTTATGGGTAGCCTACCAGCAAATCCTGTGAATGTAAGTAGTGGGTCTGTGAAGTAGACCAGGAACTCATTTCCCAAACTGTGGTGGACTATCTATATTTCCTAACTCAAAGGTAGATCACCAAATCCCAGACTATGTTAGACTATCTGTACGTTGCCTCATTCATGGGTAGCTTACCAGCAAATCCTGTGAATGTAAGTAGTGGGTCTGTGAAGTAGACCAGGAACTCATTTCCCAAACTGTTGTGGACTATCTATATTTCTTAACTCAAAGGTAGATCACCAAATCCCAGACTATGTTAGACTATCTGTACGTTGCCTCATTCATGGGTAGCTTACCAGCAAATCCTGTGAATGTAAGTAGTGGGTCTGTGAAGTAGACCAGGAACTCATTTCCCAAACTGTTGTGGACTATCTATATTTCCTAACTCAAAGGTAGATCACCAAATCCCAGACTATGTTAGACTATCTGTACGTTGCCTCATTCATGGGTAGCTTACCAGCAAATCCTGTGAATGTAAGTAGTGGGTCTGTGAGGTAGACCAGTAACTCATTTCTCAAACTGTGTTGGACTAGCTATCTCTATTTCCTAACTCAAAGGTAGATAACAAACTTCTTTCCATTCTAGACTGTTAGACCATCTGTATTTTGTCCATTTCTTCATTGGAAGCTTACCCGCTAAGACTGTTAGTGTAAATTGTGGGTTTATGAGAACCTCTTTTATTCCAAACCATTTTGGACCATCCTCGCTTCATTAACGGTACATAGATCAGGAATTCCATTCTATTCCAGTCTATTTTGGACTAGCCCTAGCCTGCCTTGTTCATGGGAAGCCTCCCAGCAACATACATGATACACTCTTGTAAATGTAAGCTATGATATAGTAAATGTAAGGGAGATAGACCAGCAACACCTTTCTCTTCCGGAGCCTGGGGGCTATTTCTCGAAACCATCACAAGTCAACCTTCTTGGACAACCCATTGAAACGTGTGTTATACAATTAACATGCGTATCTATGGGATGTCCACGAACTTAGACTTATGACGGTTTCAAGAAACTGGCCCCTGCAAACAAATCCTGTAAATGTGAGGCACTTCATAATCCCTATCATTATTGTTATCATTATTGATAATACAGTCAAACCTGCTTTAGTGACTACTTGTCTACAAAGACCACTTTTTGTGTTTCCCTTGGGCATTCACTATAGACAGGTTTGACTGTATATATATATATATATATATATATATACCTTCTCATTTCTTACTTAGGTTTCTTGCCACATGTTACTGAATGCGTCAACTCCCTTGGAAGGACTAGCTCAGGCTTCAGGTAAGAGAAACCCTTTGTATTTAGTCACACCTTTATATGTTTGTCTGAATTTCGAAAAAAATGATTGAAATAAATAATGATAGAAGTAGTATTCAGTTTATAACTTTGGAATTATTGACATTTTGAAAATTGGATGGATAGTAATTCTTTAATATTTTGATATATTTGGATGCCCCTGTGGATGTTTTATAAGCACTAGAAAATTTAGCCTCTAAAACACTTCTGCTTTCTAGAAATTGAATTAAAGCTAAAGTAATATCAGTCTTGAGAGGGCGCTATACAACATAAAGAGTCTATCATTTACAATTTCATTACTTTAGACTTGATTTCAACCGCAACAACGATCCTTGAATATTGTAAAATCGCATATGCTTCCAATATGTTCATTTGAACCAAATTCATGACCCCATACCAAAACTTTGTATGACCTTTAAGATGGTGTGTTGGCAAAAGTAATTTTGATAATAAAAAATATAAACAAATGTTAATTTAGAAACAGATCAATCAAAGACCTCTGAAAAAGAGAAAACATATATTAATAGCCTTCAAAGAAATGCTGCTTCTGTTGGTCCTGTAATCAGAATTGGGAAATGGGTGGGGTTGGGAAAAAGTTCATGACAGTGCAAGCTCTCTGATTTCTAAGACATTTTCACTTCTTTTTCTCCTTACATAGAAGAGACAGGGGAAACTACCTCCAAATTTGTTTGCTTCAACTCTTGTAGAAGACAGCGGTTCACTTTTAGCTGCTCTTTTGAATTGAATTTTTGATTTTTACAAATAATGAGTTTTTAGTGATTCAAAGATTGTAAATTATCAAATGAACCTTCACTGTAGATTTTGGCTGATTCAGTTAGACAACTTTGCTTCATATCTCATAATTTCTACATTTTTTTTTTCTTCCTCAAATTCAGGCTTGTATTACAACACCAGCAGCACACCTCTGCAATGTTTTGACATCTTTGCTGAGTTCATCCAGTGTGCAGACCCAACCGGATGTGGACTAGGTACGGATAGTACAGCTTGGGATTATCAGGTGTGTTGGGTCCGTTGTAAGCCCACTGATCATACTGATGACTATCCTTGCTTTATTTGTACAAAGATATAACCTTTTGCATGCACATTTTTTGTTAAAGAGATGGGGATGCAATTGCAGGCCCCCCCCCCCCCCCCTTCTGATGGACCTGCACCTAGTTGGAAAGAGAAAGAAAGAATAACTAAAATAAGAAAAGAGAAAAGAGATAGGGAGATACAAATTTATTAGATCGTAACTAAGTATTAAAACATGGACAACAACGAGCTATACTGTTAATGTACTAATGTATAGCATATGTCGGTGGCTACCATATTTATATTTTATGTAAGACTTAAAACATTGTATTTCAATAAATCATTCTGGTAATCTACTAATGTGTAGTATATTATGTAGGTGGCTACCATATTTATGCCATAGATAAGACTTGAAACATGGAAATCAATTAGCCAGCATTTGTAGGTGGCTACCATACTTATATAGTATATAAGCCTTTAAACATGGGAAATCAATTAGCCATAGTGTTTATGCATTTATATCTAACGTTTGTAGGTGGCTACCATATTTATGTTCAGGTGACCTATTTATATTCTGAATCAGGTCAACTATAATGATAATAATAATAATAATAATAGTGTAAACTTGTAGAGCACACACACCGTCCAGGGGCGCTCATGGCGCTAGCGCAGCAACAGTTCTCTTTAATACCAGTAAAGTAAACAATTTTGCAATATCCATATCAAATACTATTCGTCATTTCTCGTGTATATGATAGGCTTGTACCGAGATTACCTTGCCCGCCGGAAGCAACGGCAAGACAGACATGTTCCCTGACATGCCCTTTACTCCCGACATGAGGACGTCATACTGCCAGAGCGTATACAACGTGACCCCGCGACCCGATTGGCTGAGTATACAAGGATTTGGCAAAGGTGAGTTTACATACAGTGAAACCTGTCTATAAAGACCACCCAAAGGAGACAAGAAAAGTGGTCTTCAAAGGCAGGTGGTCTTTATGTACAGGTACCTTTAGTACCGTACATGTTTCATGAAGAAACCATTTCCAAAGGAAACAAAACATGTCTTCTTTGTAGACAGGTGTCGCTGTTAGTGATAGGAGTGGACTTTTTCTCTGTTTGTATATATGTAAATCTCCAAAATACATGTAGATAATGATACACTGTTACCAGTATTATACAGTTGTTATAGAATAAGTTGAACAAAAAAGATGGAAGAAACATTAAACATCCATCCATACGTCAGTTAACATGTACATGTATGTCACCGTTTAGGTGATACATGTACAGACAAAATGTCTTACATTTTTGTTTTACTCTGTGTTTACTGAGGACTGAAACCATGACCTGCCAAAATGTTCTGTGTTTAATGAGCCATTGGTGATGTACATATATCATGGTGAAAAATAAAGAAAAGCCAGGGACATACTTTTGGCTATATAGTAAGCTAACCCCCCCCCCCCCCCCCCCCCCCCCCTTTGTTCTGGCGACATGTAGTACTCTCTGTGTATGAGGAAAGTTGAGTTAAAAATGTCACTTTTATTAAAGAATCCCTCACACCAGATTCTTATTTGTCTTTCCTACCAAACTGTTTTATGTACATCCAGGGCTAGCCAGCTCCTCAAACATCATCTTTTCGAATGGTTTACTGGATCCATGGAGGCTGGGAGGGGTAGCAAAGGACCTCTCGGAGAGCATCATTGCGATACCGGTCCCTGGTGGAGCGCATCATCTAGATCTCAGGTACTGGTTTGATTTGATTTATTTACCATTTAACATTTCATACAATTACACAAAGAGAAACTATTGGTTGGTAAAAGGAGCCAGATGATAGCACATGTACTAGTCGAGCCTTACCCCTTAAAAAGCTAAACAAAGCAATTTGGTACAAATCAGTTTAGAAAACGTTACAAAACAAAAGTAACAAATTTACAATTACATTCGATACTTTAAAAAATAAGAATACTTGACAATATCTTACAATGTACAAACTTGATATTTCATTCATGATTTATTACAGTAATCAGAAACCTATATTTAGACCTTATTGATCTGACAATAATAGGTAATCTATTCCAAAATTCACTGCCCACAAAAGACAATGAATATTGAGCTTGTGTCGTTCTAAATTTTGGAAAACGTAATTGTCCATTCTTTTTTTGTCTTGTGGAATAGCTATACTCTATAAATGTCACAGTACTCTATCGAAATCGATGGTATTATCGTCTTTATATACTATGTTTCTGAAATCATTTTTGCTTTCTAATGGAGTGCATCATCCAGATATAAATTACCCATACCATCCTCGTATTGTCGTTAGTTTCTAAAAGCTATCTCTAGAAGAGAAAATGATAGAAATTTGATGATTATTGTTATTTATTATTAAATGATTATTAGTCGATATGATCGATATTAGACAAACTTGGCATTGACAAACTGGGAATCAGACCAACTGGAAATTTGGCTAAATGAGCAATAGACCGAATGGGTGGGAGACTTATTATTATTGGAAATTAGACCAAATAGATATTAGACCAAATGACTATTAGCCTAAATGGACATTAGACCAAATGATAAGTAGACAAAATGATTATTAGACCATGTGGATAGTAGACGAACTTGTTGTAGACCAAACGGCAATAAACAGTTTCTGAGAGTCAGTTTTAAAGCACTCTGCGATCCAGGTAACCATTAGTTTGTAACTGCACATCCCAAATATGATAAATTTTCTTTGGAATTTTTCAGAGGATCTAACCCTAAGGACCCGGAGTCTGTGATCGAGGCCAGGAGCCAAGAAAAACTCATCATCAAGGGATGGGTCGAAGCCTGGTACCGCGGACACAAGACAGCATAACACCATATGTGAACGTCACCTGCAGCCGGAAGCCCTAGAGGGTTTAGGTCCAGCTTGATAGACCAGTTCACAAATGTACTGAAATATCCCTTCTTCAAATTTACTAGATGAAGTTACATAAAAGCTTGCCAGAGGTTTATCTAACATATCATTAACAGATGTATACAAGCTGCATTATAATTATATAGATACAATCATACAATACCAGAGAACAGGTACATTTTATGAGTTTGTCATTAGGCTCTTAGGTATAAACTTCCATATATTTCTATACATTTGTGATTAATAGTCTTAATGATGGAGTGGATGGAATTTGAATGTATTTTTACTTTTCATTACAAATGTACTTATATATATATATATATATATATATATATATATAACATGGCACAAAGAACTGAATATATGCAGTTTCATGTACATTACAAAAGGAAAGTTTCATAAAATGCAGGCCTGATTGGATCATAAAAGTATGATTATATATGTAGTTGTGATCCCTGTTTTATACATAACAATAAATAGATCATCAATCTAAAAGAAATCAAATATTAAGCAGCACTGTTTTTATCTCGGATTTCTATTTTTTCCAAGAAAATTGTAGTCTGTAATTTTTATGCCCATGTATAAGTTTCAAGATGTTATCTCATGCATATATTTTATGAGATGAAGCTGTAAAAGGAGATATCTTATAGAATTTCCTTTTGAATATTTTCATATAAAAGTAAAAGTAAAAGTATTATAAGCTTAGCAGAAATTGTTATTTGATATTGGAGAGCTAGAAATTCATCATATATGATCATGTACAGCATCTTATATCTACCTCTCTTACCTTCCCATATTAGTGCAAGCTCTATCTTGAAATAGTGTAAATGCAATTTATTTTGTTTCATTTGAATGTCTTAATACCTCATATTCATCTTTGGTTTATTTGTGTGTTATTTGTTTGTCATCGACACAGTATTTACTTTGCTACATTGTTCTGGGCCCCTGTCTTATATCTTATAGACAGTTGCGATTAATTATAACTTATTTGTGATAGATATCAATAACAACTATGTACATAAGAGATAGGAGACTGCAAACTTGGGATTGATTGGAGGACTTGCGATTGATTCGGTTCAATCCAAATCGCAACTCTTTATAAGACAGAGCTCTGTTGTATATCTTCATATTCAGGTTCATATGCATTTTATTTTCAATGTTCAAGAATGATTTTTTTAATGATCCCCTACTAGCATGCGGCAATCACACTTTGATTAAAATATGAATAGCATCAATAGCAAAACAATTTTACATTGAACAAAAAGTTTTAATAATAATGAGAGGGCAAAACATGCTCAGGGGAGTCATTGAATGTGCAACATCAGTTTTAAAAATTTATTTTTACTTTCAACTGTGTAAAAGTTTTCTTTTTCTACCCCTTTTGTAACTGATTTGACATGCCTTGTACAAATTTTATACTGGAATTAATATGAGACAAAAAGAAATTTGTAATAAGGTAAACGTAATAATTTTGTAATTGTTTAATCATGTGCTGTCTGTTTTATAACAAATGTAGAAATGGTTGTTTCTTGTCGTACAGTCTGAGATAAGTATAAATTCCAGGTATCTTATGAGATATTCCAGATATTTTACTTTTATACTGATGGATTTTATTTAGAAATTTGAATAAAATTGTCCAAGACAAGGAGAATATTATTTTGTTTTATACGAGAGTGTGTGTGAATACAGTGAAGAAAGTGAAAGAAAGTACAGTGAAACCCATATAGAAAGACCAACCAAGCATAGGCAGGTCGTCTTTACAAATGGTGAGGTTAAAGGTCGGTCCCCAGACGCACATTCCATGTCTGATTGATACACGTCTGTAAAAAAACCCAATAAGTCGTTTTCGTAATGTAACCAAATTTATACCTAGTTGCCTGATACAAATTATTTTATTCACCTATTACGAATAACTATTTCAATAGAATGCAAATTGCATACATTTACATTACGTGCTGTTTGGTATGAGAAGGAGAAGCCATTATGCTTGTCCTACCTAGCAACAATTAATATATACAATTCACATTTTGACTATTGAAATGGAATCATTTGTAACAGGTGAATTAAACACTTCACAAAGACATAAAAATCAAATTTGGTTACATTACAAAAATGGCCTATTGCACAAAGAAGGGTTTATTTCAAGACATATTTTAACGAGCAGCATTGTTTAAAGAGAAAGAGTCTTTACAGACATTTGGTCTTTCTACACAGGTCGTTGTTGAAGCAGCGTTTACTTTTTTAGTTTTCAATGGGGAGTTCAATGGACCAATTTTGCATTCTGACTATTGAAATACAATTATTTGTAACTGGTGAATGAAAATAATTTGTGGGCACTTAGCACAGATTTGTGCATTAAATTAGATTACATCACGAAAATTGCCTATTACAAGGTCTACCCCGTATAGGAATTAACTTACCAAAACAAATATTTAAATTTATTTTTCCCTTCTTTCTTGTAGGTCTTTTGATAAGCTTGAGCTTAAACTAGATAAAGAAAGAAAATTTTAATTGACTCTGATCATTTGCATATACAGGAAATGCATAATAGGAGAATGCTGACACATTAATAAAGAAAGATAAAAATGAGAGAGAGAAGAAGAAAGGAAAGTGATGGGGGAAAGAGAGGACAAAAAAAGAGATGAGATGTTGAAATACATGTCTAAGAGAAGTAGAGAAAGAAAGTAAGTAAAGGGCGAGACACAGAAAGTGAGAGTGATGACTGAATTGCCTATTTATATGGATATGAAATGTCAATTGGCCTATATTTAGCCTGTTTGAGAAAAAGGTTAATTGAATATACATTGGTAATGCTTCCTTATTTGAATACCATATAAAACATCTATTTTCATATGTTCCAAATTACCCAGTTTCAGGCGTTCTGATGCCTTTACTTTTACGTTCACAGTCTGAGTCAGGCTTTCCCTTTTAGTTTTAATTCTAACCGTCTGAAAATCTTAGTGGTTTTGCAGCTACGGTACAGTAATGTTAAGGTGCTTGAAATCTGAAATTGCGCAAGAGCTTCTTTTCAAGTGGAGTGGGATTTGTTTGTGCTGCCAAGACCTTGTGATGATGTACACTCATTCAGTTTCTACAATGATATACAGACCCTTCATTAGGTGTGGCATGCAAAGCCTTTGATTTCCAAAGAAAATACGGCATTGATTATGTGCCTTTCAAAATAGACAAAGGGTTCCAGGATACCCGCTTTCCGTTTCAAAAGTTCCGTTGAAAAGAACTTTTGCTCGAATGAACAGACTTTCGGTCATTGGCAACCTCTCTGTTAGCATACGATGAATATTCATGACTTCACAACTTTGGTGAAAGAAGATTGGTCGTGACGTCACGGGGCGATATTTGCATGCATAATTGAGTGTACATCTAGCAACACTACGGAGGACGCCATGTTCAAAATCGTCAACAGGTGAAATGCCCGATCGCGTGGAAATACGAAATATGTACGTGGACTTTGGGGAATGTGACACCGTGTAAACAGAGGGAATGGTAAATATTGGATGTCGAGCTGATTCTGTGTTTGGAAAGATGTCATTCGAGTAAGAAAACATGGATATATTGCAGTATTCCGGACAGCCCATTCATCGAGGCGGGCAAATACCCGCGAATGGACAAAATTTCGACCCGACTGTGGCGGCCTTGGTCTCGTCGATGCGGCAAGATTTGGTTCCCGAATCGTCCACTCCAATTCCACATGGATATTCTTCTTTTTCTCCGAATTCCACTCAAATGGATATTTATTCGCCAGTTTCGCAGGCAGATTTCCGTAGTCAGATATCTCCAGTGACCAGTAAAGGCTACAGAGTGCAAGATGTTACCTACGATTATGGACAAGAGAGTGAGCAAAGTCGTAAACATCATCCCCAAAACGGGAGAACCAGTCCGATGGTCCAAGGGCGAGGGTTCATGATAACCGGGACTCCGTCCCCGAGATCATCGCTTGATGGTTCCCGTCAGCCCGCTAGCTATCAACATCATCAGTCGAGTCATCATCATCATCATCACTCGCCATCTCTAGCTAAGCAGGTATTGCTATTTTGTTTAAGAATGAAAATGTATAATATATTTCAATGTAGATTCTAGATCATAAAAACACGACTAATAGTCTAGTCATAGTGATTAGATTTACTACTACTAGACTAGCTAAGCAGGTATTGCTATTTTGTTTAAATTAAGAATGAAAATATATAATATATTTCAATGTACATGTAGATTCTAGATCATAGAAAATGACTAATATAATGATTAGATTTACTATGATGAGTTCAATCAATAAATGGAAGAAGAAAAAATCTAGTTTCATATAGATCTAGATTCTAGATCTAATATAATTTATTTATCCAGGATTATTGAACTTTTCTTGATGTATATTTAAAGGTAAAGACCAGTGATGGTCATGCGATTGCATTGTGAAAGAAACTTTGTGGAATCGATCAGAAAAGGTTGATCATCTAGCATCTAGCATCTGCAAGGTTCTGGAATCATCAGAATGATAAGAAATTTGGCCCATTCTTTGTAAAGTTACAAGCACTAAGTCTATACACAGAAAGATGTATATGGGAGTGTGTTCCCTATTTTTTGAAGCATCTTGAGCATTTAATTAAAATGGATAATGACAGGCGCGTAGCCAGGGGGGGCGGTGGGGGCAGTCGCCCCCCCCAAAAAAAAACACTGGCCAAAAAAAAAAAAGAGAGAGAAAAAAAAAGAAGAAAGGAAGAGGATGTACATGTAGTGAGAAAAAGGATTAAGAGTCAAGAACGGTACAACGAATTGTCTTCTTTCTCTAATAATTTAATGAAACGTCAAAGCTTCCGCGCTTCGCGTGGGAGGAGGGGGGGAACTGAATTTAGATAATGATTAAGAGTCGAGAACGGTACAACAAATTATCTTCTTTCTCTAATAATTTAATGAAACGTCAAAGCTTCCGCGCTTCGCGTGGAGGGAGGGGGGAACTGAATACAGACAAGGATTAAGAGTCGTTTGAGAATGGTACAACGAATCGTCTTCTTTCATTAATAATCTAATGAAATGTCAAAGCTTCCGCGCTACGCACGGAGGAAGGGGAACTTGTTTCAAACAAGGATTAATAGTCGAGGACGGTACAACGAATCGTCTTCTTTCTCTAATGAAACGTCAAAAGAAACTGAATTAAGATAAGGATTAAGAGTCAAGAAAGGTCCAACGAATCGTCTTCTTTCATTAATAATCTAATGAAACATCAAAGCTTCCGCGCTATGCGCGGAGGAAGGGGAACTTGTTTCAAACAAGGATTAATAGTCGAGGACGGTACAATGAATCGTCTTCTTTCTCTAATGAAACGTCAAAAGAAACTGAATTTAGATAAGGATTAAGAGTCGAGAACGGTCCAACGAATTGTCTTCTTTCTCTAATAATGCAATGAAACGTCAAAGCTTTCGCGCTTTGCGCGGGAGGGGGGAAACTCCCCCCTCCCTGCACCCACCCCCCTAGGGAGCGCGCTACACGTGCTCTGTTAGTGATTCGCACGCTTCGCATGCTCATATATCGCCCCCCCCCCTAAAATGAAATCCTGGCTACGCGCTTGGATAATGGCACTATATAAACCTCATGTATTATTATTAGAAGTCCACCCTGGTATGCTGGTATTTATACACCGTAGTCTAGAAGCAGAAAAGTGAAAGGAACGTGAAAGAGAAAGTGGATATTTACTATGGGGGGGGGGGGGGGGGAGCAAATCGTGACAAAATCATAAATCCTTCCGTTTTGTTCCCTTTCCCTAAAATGTAAATGGATCATAAAATTAATATACAAATTGCGTAACATGTTTATCTGAAAAGGAAATATATATGTGTGTGTGTTGAATCAATAATTGCTATGCACAATAAGCAATATTATCTTTTGATTTATTCAAGAGGGAAAGTATACAAAACTTCTGAAAAATAGTAGAAATGAAGAAAGAAAATTTATGATACATAAATTTGCACATACTGTAGGCTAAAATAAATATACCCTTTGATTAAGTTGAATATAATGTATATATGCCAATAAGTGGGCATTTATCAATTTTAAATGTTACATGTTATTATAAATTTGAAGAATGTCCACTTATTGGCTTGTTGTACAGTATATTGTCAATACATTACATATATTTATTATTCTACTTGTTGTAAATTGAAGAAAAAAATTATGGGGAAAATCAGTAGCAACTTTTAAAAGATATAAATGCATTATGATTGCAGTCATTCTTAAACATATATCCTAGCCTTTAGTTCAGGTACATGTAGTAAGGCAAAGAAGACAGTGTAGTGTTTTAACTGATAATCAGGGAGAAAGAACTGGATCTATTATTGGTTACTGGTAATTGACCTCAACCTTTGTTTGTAATTCAACCAAAGAGATGTATACCCATTCCAAATCTCTCTACAAATACAAATCATGGAGAAATAAAAATCCTGTTTACTTTTATGATGAACTTTACATGTAGCTCGATCCCTTGTCAGATTTGTCTGTGCAAATAGAGAGACCAATGTACAAAGTTCAGGAGACAATTTGATTTCTGCATTGCTTGAAGTATGTCATTAAACCATTGATTGATCTATGATTAAAATTACTGCATTTAGTGGAACAAACCGGCTTTGAACTGCACCATTCTTTTGGCATAACTTTGTGTGTCTCTTGTGCAAGAAATAATCGGCTGAATCATATACCGGTATCTATATTTCTTAGAGTACTTCCTTAATTAAGGAAATCTAACAGTTTTTGTTTCTGTGAGTCTCAAATCTAAATTCTGCTTTTTGATGCATTGGTGCACAATCGTGTACAAATATGCTGTTACAAGCAAAGTGCTGATCACTCCTTGATTTTCATCAAGACGTCTGCATAAGTTGGAAAGATGGTTATTTTGAAGGAGGAATGTTTGGTCAATACTTGTTATGGAGGAGGCATTGGATATTGGTAATATTGATTTTGATATCGAAGATTTAGAAAACGGAGACAGTGATCACTCGGTAAGTCATGGAGGAAGATCAGTATTAAACTGAAGTAAGAGGTTTTATTTTAAAATATGACAATTAAAAATATAGGGTTTTAGGGGTAAAGATTGTAGAAAGCATGGATGATGTCTTCAATTGTCTTGAAAAGTTTATTCTATTTTTAAGAGGTAGTATTTGTTTCTAAAGTGTGATTTTCAAAACTGCAAATCAGATGCATTTAATTTTGAAAGAAAGAGAAGACTCACTTTACAAACAAATAACAATAGTTTCAGTTTAAGAGAGTGCACATTAGTCAAACTGGCAAACACTGTACATTTGTGTACTAGATTATTGTAGGGCCTGTTGCATACAAATTTATCATTGGTGGTAACTTTCATTGAAACCTTGATTAAATTGGATGTTGGATGATTTTGCCATGGTAGTTAAAGGTAAAGACCAGTTCTGGTCATGCAATTGCATTGTGAAAGAAAAGTTGTGGAATCGATCAGAAAAGGTTGATCATCTAGTGTGTACTGCAAAGTTCTGGAATCATCAAAATGTTAAGAAATTTGGCCCATCCTTGGTAAAGTTACAAGCACTTAGCACTGTACACAGAAAGATGTATATGGGACTACGCAACACATGTGCGATATCTATCCGGTCCGGATAGATATAATGATTTACCAAATATAGTAGGAGGTTTTCCGGCAAAATTTGTATCGTCACATAAAAAGTCAAAACATATATTCTTTCACATGATTGGTACCGGTAATAAAAGCTTCCATTTCATTTTTTGAGAGGGGGGCGTTTGAAAAACTGGTCTTTACCTTTAATATTGACAGTAAATTGATGGTAACCATCAGTTGTAAGTTTCCTGCTACAAGGCCGTGCCTGTGCCCTGTGTTATAAAGAGTTGCAATTGATCCACATCATTCGCAAGATTGCAGTCTCCTACCTCTTACATGTACATTGTAGCCGCAATTGATATCAATCAAAAATAAGTTGCGATTAATATGAACTTTTTAAAAGACTGGGCCCAGTGTCTCATTTGCCATAAATTTTGGAAATTACCTAAATTAACAACTTTTCATCATTTTCTCTGTTCTTTGCAGGGTGATGAACTTTTTATAAGACTGGGCCCAGTGTCTCATTTGCCATAAATTTTGGAATTACCTAAATTAACAACTTTTCATCATTTTCTCTGTTCTTTGCAGGGTGATGGAGGGTTGATCAACAACAACAGCAGCTATGTGACATACAACGACAGTCTTGAGTACACTCACAACAACAGTCACCCATCCTCCAACATGGCTCCTCAGAATGGCTACGTAAGCCCTCCGCCACAGAGCTACCATCCTGTGTCGACGTATTGCGAGGAAATCCAATTTGGCACGAGCGGAACAGTGGGTAGTGGGGGTGATGTTATTACCCCCGCGCAGCTCTGCCACAGTGCTGTAACACAGAATGGGGTCAGTGCACCTGATGGTATTGCAAGTACAGCAAAACAGCCTAAACCTCCTACGAGCCTGAAACCACGTGGGTCACGGACGCGGAGGAGTCTTCGCCGTGCTGCAGACATGCTCTTGAACCGAAGCCGGCAGAGTCTCTCCGATACAGAGAGTAGGGCCCATAAGGTCATGACCCCAGTACCCCCATCAACAGCATCACCGCGAAGTCCACGTTCAACTGCCGACATGCCCGGCAATGAAGAGAACAGGGCGCCCTCTGTCCGCGAAAGACTGCAGAAGAACCGCGCCCGCATGGGTGAACTCCTACGCTCACCTAGCCTATCAAAGTGGCGGAGGGGGAGCAAAGAGAATCTCGAACTTACAGACAACCAACCCAAGGCAGGCCCGCCATCATCAAACGTAACAAGTCCGGCATACGTCCCCAACCGCAGGTACAGGAGTGCTGAAAACCTGAACACTTCGTCGTATACGTCCTACGAGACACCAGATCCGTACCTCGATAGTCGGACAGACGGAAGCAACCTCGATAGCTCCGATGGTATGTCGACAAGGTCCGTCGAGTCTACGCCTGCTGACTATCCACCCAGGCATCAAGAAAGGAGGCACTCGGTTGGTCAAGCCCGCCATCGGACAAGGAGCAGAGAAAACCATAGAGGTAGGTATCTTTTAAAGCCTGTCTGTACTATTTTGACCAGGAGGGATTAGACCACCCAGCGTGGTCACTAACAGGTGGCTATCTCTGATCTCATCAACTCAGCTCTCAATTAACGTAAGAAAAAGAGGATCATGGGGGACCGATGGTCACAGATTAGGCATTGTTTGCTATATATAGAGGGCGCAAGTAGCTATAAGTAGTGCAGTAGGGCTTTATAAGTACTGTCATGGCAAAGCTGTTAGTCTCACCTCCTTTGCTAAATCATAGTATTTAATACCTCTGAGAGACTCCTTAAAACTCACCTATTTAAATCTTTAACTGGCTTTGCTCAACAAGTGGAATGAACAGGTCGCCACCATAAACTTTGGTCACATGTGGCAGTCCAGGGTTTTGCTTGAATAAATAGTTAATATGAGCAACCTTTCACGATCTCTCTCATTTCCATTTTTCCTAAGCATGGAGGCGTTTGCAGGAATACACAATTGCAGAGAGGGATATAGCTTTGGAAAGTACAAATTGTACATTTGGAAATTCGAAAGAGCTCATGAAAATGAAATTAAGGTCATATCACCTTTTCTGAGGAATGATAACACAAGATCCTATGAATGAGAAAATAGCTTATTTTATTTTATCACCAATATTTATCAGTATATCGAGATTATTGACACCATGAATTTGTAAGAAGTTGTCTGCAACAGCATCACACACTGTATAAAGCAGAGCAGTGCTGTGAATATAAAGCACAGACAAAGTTCAAATTGTTCTGCCAGTGCCAGTGGCAGTATAGTAGTAGTAAGGCAAAATCTGGACCCATTTCTTCCCCCTTCCTCATAACCTACCTTCCTGTCTCTCTAATTCAGAGTAATCTCGTCAGACCTCCTTTCAAATATCCTCCCCTTCTCATCCCTGTCTTAGAAATCCCCCCCCCCCCCTTTCTGGAAGACCCCCACTTCCCTCATAATTAAGATTGTGTATTATTTATTGCTTTTCTAGTAGAGCAGTATTTTTGTTTTGTACAGTATGTCTACATGTAATATACACAACAGATCTCTAGATATTGAAAATAGTACTAATTGAAAACATAATACAGGGAGGAAGCGATACTGTACATGGTAAACAGGGGCTTTACTGAAAATCGCTAACTCATTCATCTCTTCTGATCCATACAAATGTGGTTGAGCAGAATGATAGCTTTGTCAACAAGAATATTTTAGAGATAGCTGTCTATCAGTGTTTTAATTAATTTGTTTTGTTTGTTTGTTTGTTGTTCTACAGTGTACATGTATATGTTAATATTGAGGAAGACTTTTAAAATGTATGACAATTTTGTGTGGTACACTGTTGTAGATGTAAGAGTGACTACATGTATTGTGAGAGTTGGGAGGTGAAATATGTTCGTAGGAACTGATTCAGCTTTATGATTCTTTTGTGAAAGTGTTCTCACTCAGATGTTGTAGTTACATGTACTTCCTTTTTTTCACCACTCTTGACCTGCCGACAATATTTAAAATAATGTGATTCAAAAGCTTGAATTTGTTCAAGAGTACTGTAGAACTTCCATCGATCCTTTCCCTCTACCTACCCCTCGTGTGGGTAATTGATAGCTATTATTGAGATTCATTAGTACAGACAGGGATAACTTCCTGTCGTTTTAATCACATGGCACTGTGTAAGCTTGCGATAATCTCTGCGAAGAAACAAGTATATACAGTGTCCATTCCCCCCTTTACTGGTCTCGTAGTCCCTGACATTTGAAAGTGCCCCTACACCAGTACACCAGTCTGTCTCTGCTTCTCAGGTAATACACAAGTTTGTATTTCCTAGAGTGGTACAACAGACAACGGCTATCTTTCCTTTCTCCATGATTGCACCAGCTTGCCTCTAAGGCCTTTCTGCGGCTCGACTGCCGCTTCCTTCACTCACAGATGCACCAAAGACCTTCTGCTTCTGATTTTCTGGGATAGTTTTGTGCCGATAGACTGGATTTGCTGGACACTTTGGAGTAGAATTGAGTCATGAGCCATTTTTTGTGCCTATAGATGTGTCTGTCATCAAGGTATTGGAGGTATTGGAGAGTGAATTTTGTGGCATATTCAGGCACATTTGTCTGTCATTAAGTTATTGAGATTAGCAACGTCTGGATACTAAAGGATATTTCTTCAGTCTGTGACCATGGCTGTACTGATGAAGTGCATGTCTTTCAAAATGAAGAATGGAATTTACTTGTATGGTATGTACATAATTATTATTAGACATCTTTCTTTCTCTCTCTCTCTCTCTCTTTCTTTCTCCCTTTCTCTCTCTCTCTTTCTTTCTCTTCCCTTTCTTTAAATTAAGTTTTGGTCCATATTATACATATGATGTAGCTTACTATTACTTTACAAGATAAATAACATGTAGATCAACATTTTTTCATGAAGACATACAAATGAATCAGAGTGACGTAATTTGGACATTTTAATATTACAGTAAATAATGAACCAAACATTCACAAACATCAATAAAAGAGACCCCTATTCAGACCTGTATCTCCATGTACAGTTTGTGTACCGGTATGTGTCATTAAAACATTTCTTTCAAACAAGTGAATACAGTTATGAATCCAGTAATATAATTGTTTTGATTTAAATATGAGAAACAAATGTGTTTTTGTCTCGCCTGCGTAGCAAAAAGCGAGACATAGGCGCCGCTTTTCCGGTGACGGCCGGCGACGGCGACGGCGACGGCGTCAACATCAAAAACTTAACCTAAGGTTAAGTTTTTGAATTTTTGGTATAATTTTTAAAGTATAAGTTCTTAGTCAATGAAACTTTGACTATAGGGTAATCAAGTATCCCCAATCATGTGAGTAGAATTTCAGATCACAAAGTCAAGGTCAAAGGTCATTTCAGGTCAACAGACTTGGACTATGTTGTAGCATCATCATCAAAAACTTAACCTAAGGTTAAGTTTTTGAATTTTTGATATAATTTTGAAAGTATAAGTTCTTAGTCAATGAAACTTAGACTATAGGGTTATCAAGTCTCCCCAATCATGTGAGTAGAATTTCATGTCACTAAGTTAAGGTCAAAGGCCATTTAAGGTCAACAAACTTAGACTTTGTTGTGGCATCAACATTAAGATTTTCAAAATGCTTCTTCTTCGTTATTTTTCAACCGATTTTGATTCTGATTGTTTCATATGATAGGGCTAGGAGGGGATTTAAAATTTCTACACAGAATCGTGAAATTCATTATCTATGCTAATTTATGCAAATTTATTCGAAATCACACAAAAGGCTTCTTCTCCTTCATTTCTCGACCGATTTTGATTTGGTTTGCTTTATATCGTAGAGCTAACTTTGGTACACTAAACTTCTACACAGAATTTTGAAATTGTTCTCCATTAATTAATTATGGTAATTTATGCAAATTTATTCCAAAAATAACAAAAATTGCTTCTTTTCCCTCATTTCTTGACCGATTTTGCCTTATCTGGTAGAGCTAAATTTGGAACAAAAAACTTCTACACAGAATTGTGAGATTTTGCTCCATTGATTATTTATGGTACTTCATGCAAATGAAATGAAATTATGTCCCTTCCAGGGCATCAAATTTCTATTTTTTGACCAGTTCAAAAGTGTACCACATAAAATTTACGATATTTGTTGTTGTGAGATGCGGATGAGCGCTACGTCATTGACGTTCTGGTTTATCGTATTGAATTGCGTTATGCAGGCGAGACCGCCGAGAGCGTTTCCCTTGTTTAATGTTTGGTTCAGTACCTACTGTACATGTAGGTAATGAAACGGTATCTTGCCCCATTACTCCCATATACTTTGTAAAAGTTTGTATTATAGTACATGTATTTGTAATCTAATCAGAATTTATTGATTTAATTCCCCTTTGTCCTTGATCTTAACAGTCATCTAATATTAGTATGAAATAATTTATCTTTACTAATACCATTGTTCTCTGTAGGGGGTAGCTGTATAGAATTAGTTCAACTCATGTATGACATGATTCATATCTTTAATGTGAAAGCATTGAAAATTACAATATTTGTTCACCTGTTATACTTCAATTCTCAAATAGCCAAATGATTTTAGGATTGAAAGGATTTTTACTACTTTACTAGCGCAACACCTGATGGCCAATTGTAAAACTTGGCCGTAGTCCATGCACATATTCAATTCAAATTTTATTGATTATAATCCAAACAAAAAGATCATTCTCAATCTCATATGAAGAATAAATGTTTGCCTGTATACTATATTATTATCATGTGTTCACCCCATTGGGACAAGTACATGTAGATGGCAAAGTTTGTAGTTGTAAGTGGTTGCCCAAATAAATCCTCTTTTTTTACTTGACCATTTGGAAAGTGATTAAAGTAATACTTCACCACACCTCTAATCCTCCCATTGTCTACTCTGCAGTGTACTAGACCTAAATAAATAGTGAAGTCAACAAGTGAACAAAGTCCAAGACATTAGCCAGATAATATTTTAATTAAATCATACATCACTTCTGCCATGATCCTCTGCTTTCATTCTCTGCAGTGTACTGAATGAAAATGTGAAGTCGACACACTTTCATTATCATCATCTTTTAGTAAAGTCAGCAATTTCCTTTTTACAAGGGGTTACTGCTTTTTCGCGCCATGTTGAAACTCCCTCCATCTACTTCTTGTCTCGAGCATCTTTGTAATTTGATTTTATTTGATTTTATTTTTATTTTATTTATTTATTTTTCTTTTGCATTTTTACAAATATATAACAAACAAAACATTGCAAATTTTACATATTTCAAAAGAATAAAATGTCGACCAATTTAGACCATTCTTACTGCTTTCTTTCTTCACTATATCTTCCCATTATTTCACTGAAGTGAAATAAATCTAGGACTTAGGAGATATAGTGGATTTTAACAAATATTTGAATTAGTCATTGAAACAGTGTTTTGTATTGAAATTATTGAACTCAAATCTTTGGGTAATAGGATTACATGGAATTAGTTTTT